CCGTCCCGTTCCTCACCAATGCAGCGCTTCAAGACCGCAAATATCACGACGTCAAGCCCCTGATAGATGTGGGTGGTGTGAGAAGGATAGCAAATGACGAGGATAAGGTGTTCACGTGCATAAAGCAGGAAGGCGACAGTATAGTGAGAATTGTGGCCATCGACCAAGAGAAGGCGATACTCTCCTTGCTTGACTTTGTCCTTTGTTGCCTTATCGAAGATCTTGATCCACTCTGCACCGATCTCTCCGTCCGTCCAGCCCTTCTTCTGGTAGCCAAGCCTGCAATTAAATATCATGATTAGATCCAGAAAAGGTGAGTCGTGACAAAATGAGAGGAGAACTTACGTCGCATTTAGAGGGTTATTGTCACCCCATCCAACTTGGAGGGCCTCACCCTTGAAAATAACGGTAGGAGGAATAGCTGTGCCGTCAGCACAGATGGTGACCAGAACGGTGGTGTTTTTGCGAGTCCCACCACATTGCTGATATTGTGGCCCCTTTCCATGGGCTGGAGCAATGACGCGCTCGCTTTCCTCGCCGCGGTTCTGTATGCCGATCTCATCAGTTCCAAAGGTGGTCTCAGGCCGGATGTTGTATTTCTTGATCGTCTCGTTGAGTAGGGCCCAGTACTGCTTGTTGGCTGTCGGATTGGCACCACGGCCTCGCTTGTCCTCAAGAGGGCGAGAGTCTTTCATCTTGAGACGGTCGGAGTGTCGCTGCACAAAGCGTGTGGTCCAGTTTTGACCCACACCCTCGACTGGGAAGTTCTTGCGTTTGCGGGCATGGCAAATCATATCGACATGCTCCTTGAGACGTCTATGACTGAGTGGCCATTCACGTGCAGCCATGTCCAGGATAAATTCGACGACAACATCTTCTTCACCCTTCGAGAGCCATGAACGGGTGGCATTGGCCTGGACTCGAGTTAGCCCACCATCAGCCAGTCGACTAAGGGTCATATGACTGAGACGGATTCGATCTCCGGTCTCCTCGAAGTAAAGCTGTTCGAAATCTTTGCAGATAGTGCGCAGCCCTCGACGGGCACGATGGTCTGGCTTCTCGAGCTCAGCACGGTAGGCCTCGACTGCACGTGACATCAACGCTTCATGAGCACGCTTTGCCTCCTGTTGCCGCTGGGCTAGCGACTTGGGACGGCCAACCATAGTAAGAAGTAGGACAAGCAGTTGAGTGGGGAATACGATGTTATTGTGGTGGAATTCAATTTTTTTTGGCTTAAAAGCGCTGGACATGCTTTGTGCATGTTGAACAACCATATATCACGTAGTTCTCGCAGTAAGACAGTGCCAACGTTGCCCCCAGTCATGCAAAGATGCTTCCGTTTGACTTGACTTGTATCACATTAATTAAAATTAACATCCGTTGGCTCTAATTCCCGCTCATAGGTGCTCCCACCTTCGTCTATAAATTCAGAACCCAGGATTTCGGTTGGAACACAGAAGCATTCAGAAGAATCTTTAGTTCTCAGACGGTTAATTTATTTACGAAACACGTTACAAGGACACCTTTACAGTGCTTCTTCTCACTACAACTTGTTTTGTGCTTCTAGATATCACCGTTCTTGCAGGAGAGTGAAATCGGGTTTGGGTGTATCACCGGCTGATTATGTAACATTAGCCGGTGGATGACTGTATAAGTTGAATCGCCGTTCAATGTTCAACATTCACTCATGCGGGATCGACTTCGATAACAATCGGTTTGCAAGTGTCAATGTTGAGGTCCGGACATCCGCAAATTCGAAGACAGGACTTGATCAAAGACGCAAGCCGCAAGATACAGCTTTCGGATTTTCTGAATTGCCAGACCGCAACGTTCATCACAATGAGAAGTTCCATCTTCTAGGATACTAGCATACAGATCCAATAACACGTCGTCTATTTACTTTCTCGCATCCAGCAGATCCCCTCATGACAAAGATCGCCAAGTAGATTCAAGGTAGGTCTTGTCATCTGCGTCGAGTTGTGTTTCGAATTGCGAATACAGAGCAGACGAGTCACGCAGAGACTGGGTGATCAACTCGACGCGAGCACGGCTACGGGGGACGATTTCGCTGGGGAACTTGTTCGGCATAATGAAGAGCCCCTAGCGAACATGGCATCACGACAGTGAGAAACGAAGAGGATTGGGACAGGAAATCGGTGGAGAACGGACCTTGGTGTAGTCCCACACGTCCGGCGTTAGCGGACGCTTGGTGACGGGATCGACTGATTGTTCGAAGGTGAATGCCCAAAGGAGGAGCGCGGTGTTGAAGTTGACCGAGTTATGCGCGAGATTGGTGCCAGGGCAGACACGCTGTGCAGATTAGAAATCAAGGATCAGCGCTTTGTCGCGGTCGCGTAACAGATGGGTTCCGGAACCTCAAGTGGGATAAGTTTATGATAGGGCGCACATACCTTGCCGCCGCCAAAGATGAGCTTGTCTCTCCAAGCGCTGACGTCAACGCCGTCCCGCATTCCGTGCTCGTTCTTCATGAAGCGATCAGGCCAGAAATCTTCCGGCCGTTCAAACAGCTCTGGGTCGTGGTTGATACCCCCTACAGGAAGGAATATTTTTGCGTCACAGTGAGAACAATGGATGGACACACGTCAACCGTCAATCGGAGAAGCTAAGGCACGTACATATGTTGATAAAAATCGTAGAGCCCTTTGGCAGGACGTATCCGTTGTACTGTTCCATCATCCTACGTCAGTGGGGGTGTAGAACGGGACGTTTAATGCCTATCAGACCCACCTGGACTTCCTGCGTTGACGCGTGTGGGAGGCCCAATGGAGCAGCGGGCCTCCAGCGGTGCACTTCACGGATGATGGCACGGACGTATGGTAGGGATGGTATGTCCTCCAGAGTTGGGAGTCGATCCGGACCAACTACACGGTCAAGTTCCTCGTGTGCTTTCTTCTGTACCTCTGGGAAAGCGACCATGGCAAGATGAAGGGAGTTGAGATAAGACGCCGTCGTATCAGCACCGCCTTCAAGGAGCACCCCTCCCAGATAACTAAGACGCAAGGATATTAGTGAGATCGCTGACAGTGCAAGCGAGATGATCGAAGAAGACACTCACGCCATCAATTCCCTATCCAATCCTAGTTGGTCTTGCGTTTGAATGATGTCCTCCATGAAAGCTCCAACGCCTTCGCTACGAGCAAGTCGGCCTCTGACACAATCCAGCATGTGGAAGTAGAGATGGTGTTGCATTTGTCGCACAACCTTCGACTCTTGCCTCCATAAAGCAAAGCGTTCTGGAATGAGTTTGAGGACGGGAAGAAGATCGATTGGAGGGTGCCTTCCAGGCTCCATCAACTCCGACCACTTGTCGATCATGTTGTAAAAGTCGGTGCACTCTTTCGAGTCGAATCGGGGGAAACGGGCACCGTATACAATGGACGAGATCACGGAGAATGTGTAGCGCTTAACATGCTTATGATAACTCTAGAAACTGAGATCAGAATTACACGTATCGAAAAAAAAACCGGCACTACGAACGTGAGGGTCGTGAATGATATCACGCATAAGCTGAACAGACTCGGCTCGTTGGATGGGCCAATGTTCTTCGCATTTTTGCTTCGTCAGCACGCTGCGAACGGCACGACGGAGAATCGACCACCGCGGGTCATCTACACCGAAACTTAGATGGGGGAGAGGAATTTACAAACTGGACTGTGACGGACCTGAATGGGCTTGGGCCATATGCACGCCTCCGGTGACTGTGTCGCCAATCGTTGTTTGAGGTCTATCTGCCGTGTAGTTGCCCTGAACGTCAATGATTTCCTTCACAGCCTTGTGACTAGTAAGAATCGCGATGACTCCGTTTCCAACCATGAGCTGGATGGATTAGTTGATCGTATTGACCGTAACGGGGCGAGCACCTACAGAGTAGATATCTCCGTAGGCTCGTGCCCATTCAGTGAAACTTTGGAATTTTGGTAAGCGTGAAATCTCTTCGAGAAGCATCGAGATATCCTACCGAAGATGTGCATATTCGTTAGGCACGAGATGGGCATTTCCAAGGAGTGGCACGGTGGGTGGGCCAGGAGGATAAAACTTCTTTCGTCGTCCGACGTTGAAGACGTAGATTCCGACTGTAGCACAGAGCGCGAGCAAGACAGTGACAACGTCGGCGTTCATCTTGGCGTTGAGAGCCTACGACGGTGTCCACCTTTTTGTAAGGAGCTCTACCGTTAGGCATGTTTTCCTACAGCGCGTTTTCGGGTAGCCGATCAATATGGCCGCCCGAAGGCCAACTCGCTGTCTATACTGCAGAAGTCAACTTGCGTGATGCTATGTCCTTCTGGATTCTGCGTCGAGAAAGTAATTGGTAAGTAAGCGAAAACCCGGGGTGAAAGTAGCTTTGGCGCACACCTTGATTGCAACCTGTCCTTCCGAGCTGGAAAATGGTCGCTTTGGACTCTATCGGGCTAGTTGTTGAGGAAGATGGAGTTGGAGAAGGAACATAAGAAGCGCACGTGATCGTGGTTGCGGTTCTACGCCGATCACACCGCCCGCGATCCGGATGCCCGCCTCTCTGTTGTTCTACCGAGTCCAACTCTGCGCCGGGCGGATGAATACTCCAGTCTCAATCTCTTTAAGATGGTGTCGGTCGGAAGTCTCGACTCCAAGGTTCTTCCAGCATGAACTCGACCACTCTTCATTCTTCCGCGAGTACGACGCTCCTGGAGAACTTGGGCAGCCATTCCATCGCGCTCTTTGGTGTCGCCGTTCTTTTGATTGCTGTCCTTACCCATAAGCCGCAGAAGGGCAAGAAACCTCCTGGTCCCCGTGGGCTGCCAATTGTAAGTTTCTTCAACCTCAACCGCGTCGTTTTCGTTGAGTTCTAATCCGCTCGGCACACGACACAGATTGGCAACGTCTTGCAATTATCTGACGAAAACTGGCTCACCTTCACTGAGTGGAAATTCAAGTATGGTCCCATAGTCGGGCTGAACCTTGGTGGAAAGAATACCGTCGTCCTCAACACTCACAAAGTCGCGTCCGATCTTCTAGACAAACGTGCCTCAATTTATTCGGACCGTAAGTTCCCCTCACAACACTTCTACCGCCATGAGGTTAACCCAACATTCCAAGGACCACGCTTTATTGTCGCTCAGGAGATGCTTTGCGGTGGCCTACTCCTCGTCTTCACTCGATATGGCGATATGTAGGTGTCGAATGTTTCCGCATTTAATTGCTCATAAGAACTCACTTTGATCGCCTCTCAGGTGGCGTCGAATGCGCCGTGCTGCCCACGAAGGTCTCTATTCGCATGCTGCTGAGAACTACTACATCCTTCAAGAGACCGAAGCCACCGTGCTCGTGGATGGTGTCCTCAAGACACCCGACTCATGGGACGACCATCTCAAGCGCACCGCTGCTTCCCAAATCATGGCCATGGTCTACGACACCCTTCCTATCAAAAATCACGAGGAGCCTCTCATCACCCGCGTCAACGACCTTGTTCAACGCCTTGTCAAGGCAGCGTACCCCGGCGAGCACCTCGTTGAATTTTTCCCTTTCCTCAACAAGCTGCCGGACTGGTTAGCACGATGGAAGCCCTGGGCTGCAGACTGGCATCGCAAGGACTCGGAACTATTCATGGATTACTACAAGACTGTCCGTGATCGTGTGGTAAGTCCCATTGGTAGCCAATTTCGTTTGGTGGGAGCTCATGTGAAATCATCAGCTCGCTGGGGATGAACGTCCTAGTCTCGTCTCTTCCCTTGTCAAGCGCGGCGGCGAGAACCAATTCACAGAGCGAGAGAAGGCCTGGGTGGCAGGAGTCATGATGTACGTTCTCCGTGCTTGCTTCATACTCTCGGGTGCAGGCGCTGATTACCCGCTGAAGTTCCGCCGGAGCCGAGACGACCGCGGCTGTGATGGCCTGGTTCTTCCTCGCCATGACCCTCAATCCCGAAGTTCAACGCAAGGCACAAGAGGAGATCGACAACGTCGTCGGTCGCAATCGCATGCCCAGCTTCGACGACATCGAGTCCCTGCCGTACATCCGTGCCATCGTTCGTGAGATCTTGCGTTGGCGCCCTGTCGATCCCATCGGTACGTAACCGTGATGATAAAGTACAATGATTGTCGTTGCTGATCCGCTGCTGCAGGGCTCCAACACCAGTCCACGGAGGACGATGTCTACGAAGGGTACTTCATCCCCAAAGGAACTCTCGTCATTTTCAACGTCTGGTAAGTGCATTTCGAACGCCAAGTTTCTTTATTTCCTGAACAGCAGATCTGACTTCTTTATCCAGGGCCATGAACCGCGACCCCGAGCTCTACGGCGAAGACTTCGACGATTTCCGCCCGGAGCGCTTCCTCGATGAAGAAGGCCAACTCAAGCCCACCCACCCTGCAACCAAGGGCGAGGGCCACGTCACGTACGGGTTTGGCCGCCGCATCTGCGTCGGCCGGTATGTCGCGAACAACACCCTCTTCATCGACATCGCGCATGTCCTTTGGGCGTGCAAGATCGAGAAAGCGAAGAACTTTGACGGAACGGACATCAAATACGACAGTCATGCCAACTTCAAGGAGGGTCTTGTCGTGTAAGTTTCTTTTTGGTTGTGTGGGTTCGGGTAATTGTGATGCTGACCAATGGTTCTGCTTCGTGTAGTCGCCCTGCGCCGTTCCGCAATGTCATCAAACCCCGCTTCCCCGAGGCGGCCAAGATCGTCGCCGAGCAGAAAGAGCGTCTCATTGCTGCTGCTAGCGTTCGGTAATTTACTTCAACTTGTCGGAAGGGGGGATACTCCGTCACATTAGAATGCTGGATCTGTTGGAATAGATGGTGTCTGTACACTTTACTCGTCTCCGTACAATTCGCCTCCGCCATGTATAACTCAACATCTCGAATTAACCTTGGTATACGCTTGTTACGTTATTCTCACTGTCTTTGAGGAGCTGCTACCATATCGCAAGGTGCAATGATTATGTTGGAAAGTTCGCCATTGATCGTCGTTCATTGATAGAGTTTCAAGCCATCGTCTTTTCTATGATTGCATAGAAGCTCCTCGGGCGGAGAAGCTGACGGATGACGACATTTGGTTGACAGATTATATGCACTTAGATGGGAGGGACTGCTAAGCTCATTGAGATGACACTTATCCCCACTCCATCAACAAGGATTTCTCTCGGGCGTCAGCCACTTCCCGCGCGAAGCCTATCCATGCCGTACACAGTCGATTCAATCCTTTTGTGTCCTTGCTTAATGCGAAAGTCTTGGGAAAGTCTGCCTGAAAAGGGAGACTCGGTAAATCACTTTCTGCGACTTGGAACCTTGTAGAAGACGAGTAAGCAAGATTGGCCAGCCCGGCTGCAGAGGCATGAATGGCAGCAAAATGTAGGCCGGTGAAATGCATGACATTTGGAGAAACTGTGAGATATAGAGATGTGTTTCTTTGTCTTCTTCTTTTACCTCTTCTGCTTGGCAGGCGGGCGGCGACCAGCGGACTTCTGCGGCGTGGCGCATCCGATTACATCTTATTTCCATAAATGGAAACAGTGCCTCCGAAGCCGACATCAACTCATTTCGCATGAAAGAAGCGCAAAATGACGCAGTCCGGAGGGGACAGTCAATGAAACCGAAGACATAATATCGTTACAGAGGCCGAGTGACATATATCCGGCGTGAGAATGAACTGAGAGCCGTGGACGTAATAATCGCAACAAATCTAGTTCCATTGATAAGCTCCAGGAAACTGTAAGTCATACATGCACAAATCTACAAAGCCTCAATCTCTCAATATGTACTACATGAGGAGTCAATCTATATCTTACTTATCGACTTGATGCTTAGGCCTGAAGCTGCTTGCAGATAACACTGCAGTCACCCGCAACGCGAATACCGAAGAAGGTGCTGGTGCTGTTCGCAAACCCAAATACACCGATGCTCTTGCCCGCCAGCGTCTCCGGTGCGATATCCGTAATAAGCGAGGCCAGCCCGAGATAGATGGACCCAGCGCCGGTGGGAATCTTGCCATGGCGGTCGTGGAGGATCATGTAGTCGAAAGATGGGGAAGACGTGGAGGAAGAAGAAGAAGAGGGGGTGGACGAACGGGTCTGAACGTGGCCATTCCCATTCGCGTGGCCGTTGGTGTCTCCACTGACGAATCCGTTGGATTTAATGCTGCCGTTCGTTGTTGTGGGAGTGTGCGCTCCGTTGGGAGCACCAGAGGTCTTGGAGAACTGGGGGTGCTTTTTGCGATAATGCGAGTATGATTGGAAGAGAGAATCAATGTATGACCCCTGTGCCTCGTCTGTTGATGCGATGGGATCGCCGAGATAGGTTCCTCGAGTAGCTGTAGGAAAGTTAGGTTATTGCTCAGAGCACAATAGTAAAACGGTATCGCGCACGTTCCACGACTATGGGCGCGTCTGGGCCAACCAAAGCTGCAGATACTCCCGAAGAGAGATCTCCCGCGAATACGATGGCGTAACGGCCGTCCCAGCTCGATGACTCGACCCAATTTATTGCGTTGAACAATCCGACGACAGACTTGGAGGAGCTTACAATCGCCTCGACGTCCGTGTTGCCAGCGGAGGCGAAGGCGTCTCGCAGAGCATAAATTATGTAAGGATCTGCAGCCCTCTCAATACAGATGTCGAGCCGGCCGACAGAGACGGGGTTGATGTTGTACTTCGAGAGGAGCGAAGACACAGCTGCAGTCATATTGTCAGATGGATCGTAGAAGGAGCTAGAAAGAAAAGAATACGCACTTTTGACAGCCAAGGTCTGGAAATCATCCTCTGAAGTCGGTGTGTAGGTATCCAGTGCCACGATACCGACATTATTTGGCCTCGCACGCGAAGGCTCGACCGCAGGTTTGATCCACCGGGATTCAGGCGGGACTAGGTACATCATGAGACCTTTTCTCCCACCCATCAGAAAGCCGTAAAACTCACTTGATGACGTTAGCTCATCCTTTGGGGCTGGAGGGAGCAATTCGACCCAACGCTCTGCCTGGACACGCAACACGTCTCCCTTGAAATACCTCCAACTCTCGAAGCTCCATGAATCGTTTGCGCGAACCCAGTTACCGAGGCCGTCGATGTACCTGGTGACCCATGCGTCGATTTGTGGAGTGAAAGACGGCATGCCTTGGTAGTTGGAAAGGAACTTCTCGGCGAGGTCGTCGTGCATCTTTGAGACAAAGCGGAGAGCGCCGTGGACGTTGGTGTTTTCTTGAAGCATTGCGAGTCGGATGATGTTGTGGCCGTCGTCGCCTCGTGATTGCTCGACATTGTAGGAGCACAAGTCCTTCCAGAATGTCGGGGTTAGTCATCTGGAATTTGTGAAATAGACACATGATACTTACATTTCCAAGGATCAGCATGTCGATCGCCCACTCCCTCAACTTCTCCAGGAGAGGGTGATAGAAGACATCGTCCGGAAGCTCCATGTCGTGCTCAAGCAAGGCGAACGAGGGCTTGGCTCCGATGGTGTCTCGCCGAACCTCCATGTAGCTGTCCACATCGCGGAAGAGATGCTTGTCGCGATCTTGGGCTTGAGTCACGACACTCTGAAGGTAGGTGGTGAATGTTTCAACAAATCGGCGTTGGGCGGTGGGTCCCATGCATTTGATGCCATTTTCCCAGAAGCTATACAACAATTCTCCTGAGTATCACCGAAACAGGTTAAACGAGGCTAGGAACCTACGTGCGGGCTATCTCCCCGACCTTCGGTTCACCCGCAGGTCTCGGCGTGTGAGGATGATGGAGGGCATCCACGACGATGTCTACCCAGTCCTGAACGGACCGAGCATCCATAGCGTCTGTGTGCTCGTCGACGACAAAAAATAGGTTCATGAGGTCACATCCTACTCGATTGACGTCTATGGCGTCGGACACTATTTTAAGTCATTTTATTTCGAAACTGAGTATGGCGGACGTACCTGCAGGGAGGCCAGCATACGCCAAAGAGGCCAATAAATCTAATATCGGGTAAATATCCACGTCCTCGAGCTGGAGTTTACGGGGTCACTCACTGAAGTCGCAGAGGTTGAAGGCCTTCTGGGCGCGAGCAGAGAAAGCGCCATATTTCTCGCACCAGGCAGCGGAGGCCGCCTTGCACTCCTCGTACGCGGGATTGATGGCTCTCGGCCAAGGCCAATTAGCCAGGGTGTCAGGAATGTAAAATCGGTCCGCAGTCCAGTTCGCTGATCCAGGCATTTCTTGCGATGCGAGTACGTTCGAGATTTAGGTGGAATTGCAGGAGTCGTTCGACTCTTGTATGTTATAAGGCTCCATCCCCAGCGATCACAGCGAGTGCACAGTTTTTCCGCATTCTGGATTGTTTTCGGGCGGGAGAGCGATGGCTGCCCGCGAAACGGAGTAGCCTTCTGCGCTGGTCCTCGGGCGGCCCTGTTGCTGGGCGAGAACCCCTTTGAGGCACTGGCACCGAGGTTATCAGTACACATGGCGAAGATTGGCGGTCAGCGACTCAACCGGCGCTAACGAATCTGATGAATGATGGGAACTTGACAGCTCGGGCGGCAACCCCGCCCGTCGGCATTGATGCTTGTTCATCGGCTCTTTTGGTCCCGCTCTCTCTTCGGATTCCGTCATTCAACATCCAGGCCCATCGTGTCGTCGACAGACGAGTCGACGGTTCCTGGATACTCGGTGCTAGCGATCTGCACAATTTTCGGGGTCCTTCGCAGGACCAGTATATTAGGGTCCGGCGCTGAACAACGTCTTCGCCCCGGCTTGGAACGTGTGCTTCTACGCTTCTTCCGCCACGAATAGCATGTTGTCTGCACGGAAATGGCTCCTTTCGATAGCCTCTGCTGCCTTACTTGTCAGTGCTACACCCGCCGTGGATGACCGACGTTCGTCGGCGGCCGCTGCTTGCGCTAGAGTCGGTACGAAGCAGGAATTGAGCCCTGCCTTTGCAGGTGAGTGTCGTGTTTGATTTTTAAAAGGCATATTATAAATTTATGACCGACGAATGCAGGTTCCGTCCAATACGAGCATGATATTTCCCACTGGTCAAATGCGAGCAGCCTTCCTTCACTCTGCAGCGTTCAGCCTGATTCTCCTCAGGAAATTCAACAATTGGTCAGTCCTTCCTGTTTATACCAATGATGACAAACTGAAATTCTCTCGCCTAGTTCTCGATTATCAAGGCTACTCGTACTCCTTGGGCAGTAAGTCCCTTTCCGTTCACCAGATGATCAGATTGCCCATTAAAATAATACTTCCACAAAGGTGAAAGGCCTGGGACACTGCAACAACAACAACATGAGTTCCACGTACGGGCTCCAAATCGACATGTCCCAATTCAGCCAGATCGCCCTTAGCGAGGATAAAAAATCACTGAAGGTGGGAACGGGGCTCAATTGGGGACAGGTGTACGGGTATCTTGCGCCTCATGGCCTTATCGTCGTCGGAGGGAGATCTCCTACAGTCGGTTCGTGGGAACCACTTCCTCTCAATTGGTTGTATAGAAGGAGGAGTGGAACATTGACTGTTTATTTTTATCTCAGGTGCTGCAGGATTATTGCTCAGCAGCGGCTATGCCTGGCTCACCAACGAATACGGATTCGCGATTGACAACACCCTCTCAGCTGGTGCGATTTCATCTTCACCTGGGTCTCCGATCGAAATCTAACTAGCCCTGACATCTAGATATTGTTCTTCCTAATGGCACCTTTACTACCGTTTCGGAAAACCATGGCGCTGACATCTTCCGTGCGCTTCAGGTACGAAGGAGTTCGCCCCGTTCTTCCGTATTTTCGATTATGAATGGCTCCGTGATTCTAGGGTGGCCTTAACAATTTTGGAATTGTCACTAGTCTCACACTGAAGACGTTCCCAATTGGACAAGTGTGGGGCGGCAGTTTGCAAGTTACGGGCGACTTGACGGCGATGATTGACGCGACAGTGGAGTACTCCGCTAAACCGTCGGTGCCCCAAGCTACACTAGCTGTCGAGTTCCTGGCAGTTAACGGTACGGTGAGCCGAGGTTACCGACATCCTTCGATGGAGCAGCGCTGACCATCGTGTTTAATTATAGGCGACGGGGTTAATCAGTAAGTTCGACGAACACCCTCGTTGGAAAGTTGGCGCTGACGGTTAGCGCCAGTTATGTTCTACGACGGACCTACACCCCCTCCTGGTCTTTTCGACGCGTTCGTCAATCTTCCCAACGCAACTGGAAGCGTGAAGACACAGTCGTTCATTGACTTCGTCCAGGCGGGCGAGGTAGCTGCCGCGCCGAACAATCGGTATGACCTCCTCGCTTTTCTTTCCCACCAGAGATGTCTAATTGTCCTAGCGCGACCTGGTATTCCGCCCCCATCTTGAACTGGACTCGCGAGATAATTGAATACATTGGCGAACAGGCAGTGGTAAGTTCTTTCTCCGAGATTAATACGAATGACCTGGTACTTAAGATCGCTGCCCGCCCTAGGAAACTTCTATTAAAGTCGCCCAGCAGAGCAAGAGCGGGACGCTTGTTTCAGGCAACATCGAACCGTTTGGGACACAGGCGTATAGCTTCAGCCGTGGCTCTGCGTGGCCGCACGATACCGCACACCCGTATAACACCTTCAATGGCCTCGTAATGTGGACAGATCCCCAGGACGACAAGATCTTGTTTGACCTTACTATCGAGTATCACACGAAGATCTGGCAAAAGGCTATTGAGCTCGGTATCTCGAGGCCGAAGGGCGAGGTGTTCTTCCCTCCAAACTATGTGAGCATTGCCATTGTACTATTGAAAAAAAGGGTCACTGACGCGGTCTGCGTGTCCAGTCGCAAGGCATCACTCCCGTTGAGCAGATCTACGGACCGAATTTGGGTTGGCTGAGAACACTAAAGAAGAAGATCGATCCTTGGAACCTCATCAGCCTCACAGGTGGTTTCAAGATCTGATCAAAAACACTTGCTCAAGCAGCGCCGCAGGATAGATTTTATTTATATACGTCAATTAAAATTCGCACTATTTTGTCCAAAGTGCAGGAATAAGCGAGAGGGTCGAAGGAAAACACCCCAATCGGGAGCCTTGGTGTTAGGAGTGTTAAGGTTGGAATATAAGCGCCCGTGATACAGTACCTGCTTGGCTGTCGGGCCAAGAGTTGTGCGCTCTTTTGCATCCGTTGCGCCATCAATGCATCACCCTCTTATAGTCTACCGCAACTAGCCCACATCGTTCCTCAGTCGATACTCCTTCCCTCGCTAAGAGCCATCCCTGCCGCGGAATCCAGTCCCTCTTGAAGCTTGAAGCTTGAAGGACCTTGTCGTTCTAATGCTACGATTTAATTACGATTTATGTAATCCATCGCGTCTGCAGGGCTATTCGCGCTCTCTCCGTTTGGGCCTACTCTATGTCCTTGATATCTTCGCTTTCTTCAGCGTCTTCTTCCCTCGTTTCGCATCTTACTCGTCCTTCGTCTCTTCGTTTCATCTAGTTCCGACTCGCGTAGTCACGGTCGTCCTCATGTCTGCTCGTGCAAGTTAGGGGTGTCATTTCCGACCGGCACCGGGCCGCCTAGAGCATCACCGCAGCTGGTGTGTTCTAACTTTATAGTCGAAATCGCCGAGTCCTTCGACGAAGCCAAAAGTCCCAGCGTTCGTAAAGGCATTGTCGTCACACACTGATGTCTCATGTCAGCCTCGGGCGGTGACGGGCGGTGTGATTGTCTGCAGATAATAAAGACACAATCGATGCAGGTGCCCTCCGTCGTCTCTCACCTCTGCAACCACCACTACCATGACTTTTTCCTCGAGAATCCCTGTTATCTACGTGAGTTTTAGTTGTATTCCACCCAATCGTCGACGATCTCATGTTGATCAACATCCAGGGCGGTGGCGGCATTGGCGCGCCGGGAACATTCTGCAAGCTCACGACTGCCGAAGCCGCCCAACCTGTCTTTGACGCCTGGTGCAAAATCGTCGGCCCCTCCGCGATCGATACTTCCGATCTCTATGGCCTCGGGTCGTCCGAGGTCCTGATTTCCCAGCTGAACTTGCACGGATCTGTCGTGGACACCAAGTAAGTTAGACGCGTATAAATTAAGGCTTAGGGGCTCATGTCGCGTCGCGTGGAATCAAAGGAGCTACCCCCTTGCCCCCGGGGCCCATTCGTACGAGAAAATAAAGGAGGCGGCCAATAAGTCGTTTGAGAAGCTCAAGGGCATCAAGGTCCGCGTGTTTTATCTGCACGCCCCCGACCGCACCGTCGACTTCAAGGAGACCCTCCGCGCCATCGACGAGCTGCACAAGGAGGGAAAGTTGTGAGTGTGCTTTATCCCCGCTGCGAATACGAACGCTAATGGACCAAAGCGAGCTGTTCGGGCTGAGCAACTTCCGCTCGTACGAGGTCGCCGAGTTCGTCATCCTCGCGCGTGCTAACGGCTGGATCGCGCCAACGGTTTACGAGGGGATCTATAACCCCATCGACCGCACCGTCGAAACTGAGTGAGCAGCAGAGCACCCTTCCACTGACGCGTGCATCACTCACACCCGCGGCCCAGACTCATCCCGTGCCTCCGCCGATACAAAATCCGCTTCGCACCGTACTGCCCGGTCGCAGGCGGGCTGCTCGTGGGCCATCTCCTCTCTGACAAAGACCAGCTCGCAATGATCGAGGAGGGCAGCCACTACGACCCCAAGCAACCGTTTGGGCAGTGGTTCAGCGCGCGCTACGGGCCCATGATCCCCGAAGTTCGCAAGCTTAAGGAGAAGGTCGAGGCGAAGGGCCTCAACCTCAACCAGGCGAGCGTGAGGTGGCTCCAACACCACAGTGCACTCATCCCTAGCGATTTGGGGATTATTTTTGGAGGGAGTAAGCCGGAGCATGTCGTGGCGTCGTTGGGGTATTGGTGAGTAACTGTTTCGGACACTCCTTTCCTCCCCTTTTGTGCCATCCTTATGGCAACAAATGAAACCACCTCTAACTCGCAAAACAACGAACTAACATACCTTCACCCTGTAGCACGGAAAGCCCGCTTCCTGCTGAACTCGTCGAGGCATTCGAGGCGTGCTACAACGCCGTCAAGAGCGGATTGCCAAACTACGAACACAACCCTGCGTGGTACAAGCCCGAGGTGCATGGATACTGAGATCTGAGACTAGAGTAGGCGACAGAACGCACTATTCTTGTTGAATAATTGCTTGAATTCGATTCCCTCATTTGTGCTTGCTGTTTCCATTGGTGTGGGATATCGACGTCGTACAGAACAACAGGAGCTCGAAGATCACGTTTGCGCATAATGGGGAATCTGGGCAGGTATTCACATGCACACTTGCCGCAGAAACAGAGGGAGATATGGAGTCGAGAAAGAAAAGGAGACTTGGCGTGACAGTATAGAAGTAGAAAGGTCGAAATATTACATAATCTTAGACTTCAGCCAACCTAGACCAACCTCTTGGACCGCAACTCAACGTTCAACGTCAACGGTGGCTTCATTCTTGAACAGGTTTTTGCGTCACGGTTATTTAACATGGCCTACCAATGACCATCTCACTTCTTCTCCAAGATGGAAAGCGATTCGAACTCTTACGACTCGGATGAATATCCGGAAATCCACCCTAGCTTCGATGCACTCCAAAGTCACATCCTCTCAGACCTCAATCTGACACTTACGCGCTGGGAGAAGCTCACGAGAGGACGATATCATGAGATCTATATTCTCTATACCTCGTTGGCCGACAGATCCGAAGGCAACAACTTGATTGTTCGTTTCTCGCGCTTCGTTGAATCTCCCCAGAAGCTCCAAAGTGAAATCGCGACGATGCGCTATGTCCGCCTGCACACCAAAATCCCTGTTCCTGAAGTGTATCTCGCCGACACATCCCCGGACAACCATGTTGGAGCACAGTACGTCGTCATGCAGCAAATGGAAGGACAGCGCCTATATCGTATCTGGGATGAGCTTACCATCGAGCACCAGAAAGCTGTCCTGGGTCAAATCGCGGCGGTCCTTGCCCAGCTGGCAAACTGCAAATTTGATTCTATTGGCTGCCTTCAGGACGATTTCAATGTTGGACCCCTGATTCATTCGGTCGGCGTAAAGGAGGATGGGATAGAATCGCTTCGTATCCTTCGCAAGGGCCCATTCACGACGGCGTTGGACTACCTTGAGTCGTTTTTAGAAGACGTTCCCCATTTGCCCCGGCTCGAACCGCTCATGGCAGATGTCAAGCTGCTCCTTCGAACTCACTTTGCATCGCAAGACCCTGCCAGGCTTCTGCAGCCTCCGTTCCGCCTCATTCACGCCGACTTCGACGCTCAAAACATGCTTTTCACCGCTCCAACCAACGAGAACGATGGCCCTCCTCGTCTCACTGCCATACTCGACTGGGAATATGCCCACACAGGACCTCTTTACTTCCTCTACGACTACCCTATCTTCGTGCAAGATGCGGATTGGTCCAAGGAGCTATTCTCGAGGAACGCCTTGCTGCGCCGTGCGTTTTGTCACGCCCTTAGGGATCGGTTCGAAGAGGGCTCCGAAGAGCGTGAACAAGCCAAAGCGGTTCTTCCTGCTGGTAAAAATTCAAGGCTCAATAACTTTGCCGCTATCTTCATGGGAGGTCTTGAGTGGGATTGGGATTTGATGGAGGGAGTTGTGGATGGATATATTCAGGATGAAAAGGCGGGGACTGGGAAAGCATATACAGGAAGACTAGACTGGGCCCCTGACCCAGATACGTGAATTCATTTCATGCACTGTCAGCCTCTCGAATCAACTCTTTTTACATATATTTTATTCTCTGTTTATCTACAGTTCCTTCTCTTTCAACTTGTAGCTTATTATTATTATTACTCGACGTCAATCCTCTTCAACACGATGATCCACTATCCACAACTTGACGCCTTGCCGAAAGCAGGATATCGTTGCCTTCAAGTGGTCATGCACGTTCTCATGCAATCTTGTCGACATACTTTACAAAGTGTCATACACCAGGTATCATTGACGTGCTCGCCTTCAACCACATATATCATATCGCCCCAAGAATTCCCTCTGCCCGCACCTTCCATCCCTCCTTCGGGAACGCCGGTGCCTTGGCATACCCATCCTTGCCACTGTCATCTACGTCGTCCGCAAGCCCGTCCCACCCGCCAACCATCATCCCTACCGCATACAGCAGCGCCCCCGAACCAGGGAAATAAGGCGTCGGAACCCGCACGCCGCCGACTGGCATGCCGACGTCGTCGAATGGGAAAAGGGGGTGCAGGAGGAAGTCCACGGCGCGCGCGGGTTGGGAGCTGCGAGCTGCGTTGAGGGCGAGCATTGGGAAGTCCCAGCTGCGAAAAAATATCAGGCGTCGGAGAAAAGGGGAGGAAGGGTAAGATACGCACCCCCAACAATTCGACACATTCCATTTCGCCCACACCTTCTCCGCCGTCAATCTCGCCCGCGTTGGGTCTACACCGCTGGTTGGCGGAAGCCATCCTACGAGCCCAACCAGCGCCGGGTGGTCACTGATATACTGTTCCATGTCCCAGAAATCCTCTTCAATGCCCTCGTACACCGCATACAATCCATCTTCCTTCCCTACAGGCAACGGCGCCAAATTCTCCTCGACCTCCTGCCAAAGAGACGGTACGCTCTCGTTGATGGAATGAAGCCAGGCCCGAGCATTGGAGAGTCCAAAGCGCCAGTATGCCAGCTCGAAGGCGGGGTTGCGGGTGTAAATGGGTGCGGTGTCTTCCGAGACGACGTGCACCGGCGGGCCGAGGTCGTATACACCCGTTGAGGCATTGTAGAAGGCGAAGGAGGCCATGAAGTCCGCTGTTGCCCTGATGATCGGTGCCCATTTCTTTCTCACCTCCAGCTCGAGCTCTTTTGGTGAATTAGGGGGAAGACCACGCAACTCGTATAAAGCGAACACGATTGGGTGGGGTTGCTGCCAGAAGAGTAGGTTGTTGATCTCGCCCGGGGTTGAGCGCCCAGAGGGATCGGTCATCTTAGGCCAGCGAGCGCCGGAGGCGAAGCCTTGTTGGATTTGGGCGCGAGAGAGGGAGGAGGGGAGGAACGAGGCATAGGTGTTGTAGGAGGAAGAGAGGATGGAAGGGTTGGACCAGAGAGCGAAGTGTGCGAGGTGCCAGAAGTACATTTCTATGGGCAAGACGTTGGGAGTTTGGTGACTTTTCTTTTTCTTGGCAATCCGGGTAGATGGAACGTACCCATATGGAACTTTCTGTAGAACGCGTTAGAAATTTGACGACGGAGAGCATCAAGAGGCGCACCCGTACTGCATTTACCGGAGCAAACTCTGGTCATCAGCGCCTATTCGACATCCAACACCGAAGCACCACATACCCATCCGTTATTGACAAGTCCTGACTGAAAACCATGAGCCTCACGCCCTTCAACAAAATTGGCATCTTTCCTTACCTCCTGAGGTGGGCCGTCCCCAGCGCTATTAACCCGTACCAAGTATCGCGACAGGACAATCCTCCGCTGCAACTCTTCCGCCCTTTCATCTGTCGAACCGGCCATTACATCCACGAAACCGCTCTTCTGCCAATAATCGATCCAGGTTTTGTCTGATTGGGATGTTAGAGAGGAAACAGACGGTAGGCGGGTGGTAGCAGGAAGGGGCGAGGGCGAAAAGTTGACAACAGCTTGGAATTGCGAGGCGGGGTTCTGTCGGAGGAGGGTGTACCGGTGAGCAGAGGGCGAATTGCGTGTGATGGTAAAAGGAGAACCGGCAATGGAGGTATGGAAGGTAGAGGAGTCGAGCGTGTGGGCGATACGAGCTTGGACGTTCCCTCTTCCATCCGCGCTGGAGAGATCGAAAGTGGTCGTATGCTGCTCGGGCACGTCAAGCCGCCCCACGAATGGCGCGCTAAATTTGGCCGAGCCGTCGTTCCATGGAAAGTCGACGAATAGCCCTAGCTTGCCCTGTGGAAGGAGGGGCGAGGAGAGCGTGATGCCGATGCTGCTCGCACTCTGAGACGACACAGTCGTGACAACCACCTCGGAACCTTCAAACGTGAATCGCGAAGTGATCTTGCCCGTCCAGAGGTCGAGCGTCTGGCGTTTCTCCTGCAGGTCGTGCTCAGTCACGTTCCTCGCCCCTCCTCCCTCCGGATCGAGGAAGACGAGCCCTACACGACCAAGATTGACGCGGTTCGGGTTGGAGATAAGCCACTGTTGCACGGCTGGGTCGCCGCCAAAATCGTACTGCACTGGCCGACCGTGGTTGTCCCAGCTCGTGCCTTTGTAGTTGTCGATGTCGGCCTGGGTCTTGCCGGGAGGGAAAGAGTCGTTCTTCCACCCCCAGGAGGTGAGGATCCCGTATGGTAGGAAGGTTTGTAGACCGGTTATATCAGCCCCGAATGCGAAATTGCCATTGCCTACTTGCATCGGTGTGATGGGCGAGGACGCAGTGCGGATTGGGTTGAAGTGGGTGACAAGGGCATGGCGGTCGATGAGGGCATCAGAGACGACAGATAGGGAGAGAAGCAGGACGAAGACGAGGATATGTAGCATTGGAGAGATTGTCTTGTATTTCCGGCAACGAAGTCACGATGGTGCTTTTATTTGATCGAGACGGCCCGACAAAAGAGCGTCGGCGTCTTCTTTGCGTTCTTGAGGTCTTCTTTCAGTGTCGCCTGACCTCTCCACACAAAGTGAACCAACATGCCGAGGATTTTCGAAGAGATCGCGTCCCTGTCGAGGGGGGATTATACGCAGAAAAACTGGGAACTTGACTGCTACACGGCTGCCGGTAGGTCTTGCACTGGGAAAGAACGATGGCAGAAGCGCCACCTGCTCGCGCACATGGACATCTTGAGAAATCGACGCAATCGGATTCTTGCCGTTCTGGATGGGATCGGTGCTGATAGGGGCAACGAGCGTCGAGGAGAGGTTGGCGCTTTAGAAGTTGCACTGAAAACGAGAGTGTAAAATCACCTGGGAGGGTAAAGCTGGGCAGTTCTGACAGGCTAATCCATCCAAGTTGAACGTAGGCGCGTAACGTCGCGTTTATGCTCGAGCAGGATAGTCCGACCCTGTCAGAGCACGGTCGGGAGAGGTTCTCCGCCTGAACCGCATGCCCTTAAGAGGGACACACTGGGATTTATCTAAGATATTGTATCGAGGTCGAGAAGGGTTATTGGACTACCCGAGAGCGCTGGTACGAAGAGCGCTCACGGTGCGCATCCTGGAGGCAGTTCGGCATCAACTTGAAGGTGTTGGGAGGAGTTTGAGAAAGAGTGGTGGATTACATAACCGGTCTGGATTCCGCAGCCCTTCGTTCTCCGAACGCCACGGACTTGAACAACATTCGCTGTCCCCGTCGGGGTCGGCAGGTTTGCCCATATCTTGCGACGGGATGGTCGTATAGACAACTCCGTTTGGGCCATAGTCAGTCCTGCGCCCATTGCTCTCGTTGTACTGGAATTTCGAGCTGCCATCATAGTCATCCGGGATTCCTTTGAACGTGCCTCGTGTCAGTGGCCAACGTCGAGTGCATAAGGTCCACACCAGCGTCTTTAACTTTTCCAAACGGCAATGTTCCAACTATCCATATATCCGTGAGTTTAAACAACGAACGATTTCCAGGAGACGTACTACGTGGACTCTCTTTATTTGATTTTGGCGCCTCTTCCTTCGCAGATAGCGGCTCAGGGAGCGCCAGCTTCGCTTTTGCCTTGGAACTGTTGAGAAATCCTCTCTTCATTTTGCGTAAGAGGAAAGCGTAGTCTGCTTCTTTTGATGACAGACCCCTTTTAGAACTGCACCCCCCAAGTTCCTTGAACGCTGGGAAAAACGAAGAAAATTCATTAGAAAGGAGCTTGCTAGAACAATACAGAGTGCGTATAATTTAGATAGCAATTCAAATACTTCATACGTGGACACATAGTATTCTGCAGAAAAAGTAACTCGACGGAATATTTGTAACCGAGGTACTGTTGACGACCCTGAACTTGGCACTTTCAAAAGTCGAGTCAATTTTCTTCAGTGAGACGACTTCCTATGTCACAAAAGTGGTACTATATTACAGAAATATGTCTTTAGTTCCTAATTACGAAGTTTCATGATTTTTAGAAACACCTGGGAGTTGTAGTGAATTTTACGAGAGGGTGGTGTCGAATTTCGGTGTTTATACCGAGTTTGGCCACCCCTGAAATCGCGCCAAATTGGGTTGATGGCCGGCCGAGATAAGATGGCCAACAAGCGCCTCAAGAGTTCCTCCCTCTCTCATTCGAGCTACACAAGTCCCTTTGCCACAAAAACACATGTTGTTTATACTTTACCATCTGGAGTATAATCAGAGATTATAAATCCCAAGGTGTCATGTTATTTGGCGGGGATTCTGTTTCGGTCATTCAATGGGTCGAAATACGCTCATTTAACACTTACCCCCGCAGCTGGGTATTTGAAAATTTTTAAAAATTCAGACAGGCATAACATCGGATTCATTAGCATACACATTACATATTACAACTTGTTTTGTGTCCGTCCGTCAAGTACATCATTCCTGACACAGACTACAACTTAGGTTGTTTCCGGGGCATGATAAATTAAGAGCACAATTTGGGAGTGCATTTACGGAAGACAATGTCCATAGCGTGACGAGACAGTATTATATTCTAGTTCCTCACACCTTAAAGCATACGCCATATTTTGTCCCGCGCAGAGGAGGGCTGACCCGAGCGAGAGGTGCAGGTCAGAATCGGCGGCAAGACCGTTTCGGCTTATGAAATCTCGGCCATCACTCCTGCCGGCCATGGCTCAGACATGATATCTTCATGATTTCCCGGTATTTCTCTCTCAAAGTTGGTGCAGTTCTCCTAGGGCATACGCACAATAGTTATCTGCAAAAAGAATGATGGAAATCGCCCTTGAAATCGTGGAATTATGCAAACGGCCAAATTCAGGGTCATCAACAGTATTTGGCGGTCGTTTTGCACAAATATTACTATTATTCCCCTTTGATTTCGCACTTTCCAAATTCCCACATGCGGTTCTCCTCGGATCATCCACGTCATTGCTCATATTCTTGAGAGCGATACCTTACGCCTCTTTTTGGCCTCTTTCTTAGTGTTCATCAAGACGTCAAGGCAGGTACTCCCGTATGCTTCGAAATCACACCATCTCCGACCTCCAATGGTAAGACACACGCACAGACGAAAACAGGTCGCTGAAAGGCTATCTGACGGACCTTGTAGCATTGCAGGGACGAAGGGCGATCCTGGACGCTTCTAGAGGGCCCCTCCCACGGAGCTCATGTTCTACGCAACTTCTACGCGCAGTCTCTCCGTGTACCCACCCGTTGAACCGGCCTTCCCGCCGGCTTTGCGTCTTTCTGCCAGCGTCCCGCCTTTCCCAAAACTTCGCGCCTTTCTTCACGGTGCGAGCACAGGCGCCCAGAACCCCTAAGCCTTGCTGACGAATCCCCTCCTGTTTTCCTCGCATGCTGATTGGTATGCAGAATCAACGCGTCGTGATTGGCCGGCGAGGAATGGGGTATTATTAGACGGCGACGGGCCGAGGGTGTGACATCACGCGGCAGGCGATAAATATAAGACGCGCGCGGCGAGGAGGAAGGGAAGGTTATCGCCCCTGCTCTTTCATTTTGCTCATCTTCCATAACCGCCCACACGACAGCGCAACCCAGCACAACCTAGTGGAACACAAAATACGAGCAGAATAAGGCGGAAAATTCTAGAAAGAGAAGCATGTCGTCGACACACTCCGACTCCTCGACCGTCGTACCCCCCTCGCCACCTGCAGCCGTCCCCGCCGTGCCTCTCCCACCACGTTCAGACGCAGCGGGATCAAAGAAGGCACCGGTATGGCCTATCGCGGCGGTGGTCCCCGAAGCAGCGGCCGCTGCAGCTGCTACGCCGTCGGCCAAGTGTGGCAGACACGACCGAGAGGACGGGGTATGCTGCAAAGAGCTGACTCACGACGAGAGGACGCTGGTGGACCCGGACGTTGTGCGGGATGTGTGAGTGCTCCTACTTTTTGTCGGGGTGGGCAGTGGAGAGACGGAGCATACTTGCTTGGCTTGGGAGACGTGCGAACAGACGCACTGAGCACGCTGTGCGGCGTTCGAAGTCTATTCTATATTTATCTCCGTCTCGCCCACCCTGCACGCCGGTGACATCATACTAATACCTTTTTCCTCGCAGTGTAATTGGTCTCTCCGACGGCCTGACTGTTCCTTTCGCCCTCACCGCGGGCCTTTCCTCGCTAGGCGAGTCCAAACTCGTCGTCCTCGGCGGGATTGCGGAGCTCATCGCGGGTGCCATCTCCATGGGCATCGGCGGCTTCCTCGCGTCCCAGGCTGAGCGCGACCACTATCGCTACCTCCAGAAACAGACCGCGGAGAGAGTGCGCAGGAGCTGTGCGGGCGAGATGGAGCGGGAGGTGCTGGAGGTGCTTGGACCGGTCGGTGTGGACGGAGGCACGTGTAGGCGAGTTGCGGGATGTTTGAGGGAGGTCGAAGCGGAGGGAGAGGGGGACGCGTTGCTGGGTGAGGGGAGGAGAGAACCGAGCGCGGCGAGTGATGTGGAGAGTGGGAGCTTGAGATGGAGCAAGGAGGTTGGTCTGACGGCGTTTTTGCTCAAGTTTGGTCAAGGGCTGGGTGAGTCTCCTCTCGATACTGTGGCCACCTTCCAACTAACATCTCGCTCAGAGGAAATCCCCAACCGGCGGATGTACATCTCGGCGTTCACGATCGGGATGGGGTACCTCATCGGCGGGCTCATCCCACTCCTGCCCTATTTCTTCATCCCTCGCGCGCACGTTGCCCTGATCTACTCCTCCCTCATCACTGGGCTCGTTCTTCTCATTTTTGGCGCGGTCAAGTCGCGCGTCACGGGTGCGGCGATGGATCTTGCGGGGTATGCGTGGGGCGCGGTCAGCACGCTCATGGTTGGCGGGCTGGCAGCAGCAGCGGCGTTTGGGATCGTCAAGGCGTTGGAAGGGAGTGGGTAGGCATACGAGAGGGGTGAGAAGAGATAAATTTGTGGACACATTTATACAGTCGCCTTTTTGTTTAATTTTATTCAATACGTCTCTTCCTTGTAATACCTATTTACTATTCGCATTATTATTGCCTAGGCCCATGTACTACACCACCAGTCTCGAAAATTTGGTTTTTCATCCTTTTTCCCCTAGTCATCGTCAGTGCGTCACTCAGAAGTTTTATCTTTTATCTTGCCGAGCTTGCGTCAACCACATTATGACCGAACGGCCGGGTGTATTTAGAGTCTTAGCCCCACGGAGATAACTCGTCATCCAGCGAGGAAAGTAGCCGAGCGCTGAATGAAGTGATGGTCCAGGACCGACAACTTGAAGCGACAAAATATAGGCAGCTCCGACCCACTTCAACCCGAGTTGTCGATCTCCAGCCCGAACGAGACACTGCTATTCAAACACCCACGCCCGTTCATACAGTGACAGTACGAAGGTCGAATGGCTGGATCCGAGGAGTCCAAAGGTCCGAGAAGGTGCAGTCTTACAGAAGGTCCAGATGTACTATGACGGTATGTTTCGTCGAGCATCCAAATTTGTCAGATAGACAGCTTGGATCTACCAAAACACGTACTTTTGTGTCCTGCTTTTTTTGATTTTCTTCTCACATCCAAGTCCTGGATTTCGCAGCGCCCTGGCAGGACCTATAAGTCTGCGTCGGCTTCGGAGCTGTATTCGATAGCTTTCGCAGCAGGATCACACTTTCCCTATCGATACGGCCAGAAACAAACGACGGGCGTCTAATCGGTGAGTTGCTTGGCGTCACGATCGAGTTGCGATAGACAGGCTCCGTATCATTATGCGACCCAGAGTGCTCACAGGCTGAGGATAGCGGCGAGACGAGTTTCGACCCTCACCGGGCACTGACTGCCAGTCCTTGAAATTTTGTTCGTATTGGAGAGAAAGCTCTTCGCCACGGGTGCAAGTGAAGTTCGCCTGATTTGATGTACTCTACTCTAGAGAACAAGACCGATTCAGAACACGAACACAACTGCTAGTGGGCTTGCTCGAGGTCGCGCGGCGGACGCTGTACGCTGTGGACCGACAACTAGTTAAATAATATACGGTACCCCAGCTCATGCCTAGAGCCTTGATGGCTGTCTCCTCGAGCCCGAGTTGGAGTTCGAATTCGAGATTATGACGAGGGCGTCGTAGATCTTGGAGGCGAGGCCGCGCGGGTTGAGTTGGGGGACCTGGTGCGAGAACGGGGGTCAACACCTGCACGATACAAATTCGAGAACGGGCGGGCTGCTGATACTTAAAGGTGCATGGAGAGGGGAGGGGGCAACTGGGTTATGGAAAGGAGCGATGGAAAGGGAAAAGTGTACGCAAAAGAGAGAAGAAGGAGCGAAGGCATACCAAATGACCGGCGCTTTCAACCCTGGCGAATGATCCCAAGTTCTGCAGTCCGCCCGCGGCGTTCTCGACAACGTCTCTTTTCACTTCTTCTGGGCTATATATAACAGAGGGGGGAGGGGGAAGTGACAGTTTAGTATCTCGTAGAGGCGAGCGAGTTGGGAGCCTAGTCTGCCCAAGAAGAACTGGACCGAAGGGTGAAAAGGACGTCCGACGTACAGGTAATCGTCAATGGCTCCGTAGATCAGGTGTGTCGGTACACGTGAGATGACGCTCTGGAGGTTGGAGTAGAGGCGGAGAGAGCCGATGGGGTCGCGGTAGCATGCCTGATAGTAAGTAAGCGCCGTGGTCAGAGGATTTTGGGAAACGAAAAGAACAGGGGTGAGAGGGGGGGACAGGACGCACCACTTCCGAGGCTTTCGTACAGCTCAGCGTCACGCCCGTCTGGTCGGGATAGTCGAGCGTAGGGAGGTCCCTCAGGCCGTGTTCCTATTACCAATTCAACACACCACCATCAGCGCCACCACATCGAAAACGAAAACCCAGAACGTACCATATACAGCCTCAACACCCGCTCGTCCCACGCCTTCCACGTCCCGCGCGCCCGCAAGAGCGCGTACGCCTCCGCCCGCGAAGGCCAGATGTCCCGCCGCTTCTCGCCGCCGCTGACGAGCATGCGCACGGCCCCGGAGCCGAACGCGGGGGCCATAATCATGGGCTCGACGAGGATGAAGGAGCGGAAGGGGCGTGGGGGGGTGTAGCCTAGGGTTAGTGTTCTGGAGGAGGTGAAAAGGAGGGAGGGAGGGGGGAAGAGAAGAGACGTACAAGGAGACGGCACCCATGGAGTGCCCGATCCCGACGAGGTTGTGTGTTGAGAAGTCGACGCCGGCGAGCCCTGTACCGAGCCCGGAGAGGAGCAGGTGGATGCTCCGGGCGTACTCTTCCCATCCGACTGTGCGTTATGAGAGTTGTTAGAGTAGAGTGTTATAAAGGCGAGAAACGCGTTAGTGTACTTCCATACGCGTATGTAGAAATGAGGGAGCACTGACATATGGACTCGTACCCGAGCTTGAGCGTGCCCTCGTTCAGGATCGCGGCTGCACCGTGGTTCGCAGCGTCGATCGTCCAGACCTCGCGGACCTTCGGTCTCTTCTTCTTCCCATGCCCATTTCCCTCCTTCCCCTCTTCATTAATATTTACACCGCCCTCAAGCAACACCCACAAATCATCAATCGTCGGCTCCCACTGCTCCTTGTGGAAGCTCCCTCCGTGCGCGAAGATCAGCGTGAGCGCGTCGGGGTCGGGGTCGGGGTCTGCCAAGGGTTCAGAGTCGGGCGAGTAAGAGTCGGGCGAGTAAGAGTCAGAGTTAAAGGTGGAGGCGGGGGCCCGCCAGTAGCGCTTCGCGACTGTGAGGAGCGGGTAGGCGGGCCGCGGGTCGAAGGTGTATGTGCGAGTTTGGAAGCGGGTGCTCATATTCGTTTAGGAGATGGAGGTGGTGGTGAAGGGGGGGGTGAGGAGGAGGGGGGTTGGGGAAGGAGGATGTGGGGAGAATATAACGATTGCGGGGTTCAATTTGAATTGCGCAATAATCAGCTTTCAAGCGACGTACGGGGCTTGTCACGGTCCGGGGGATGCAGAAGCCGGTGGTGCGGGTAAGTTGGCTACTTACTGAGACCGAGGTGTACACTCGAAGACTTGGATATGTAAGATGAATGTACATGGCGACTGGAGTGTTCGATGCACTGCGTATTATAAGAGTTAGATTATAAGTAACTTCTCGCGCTCTTATTGCTGCGCGGTACCGAGAAGCGGTGGGATGTGGGATGGCATGCGCAGATGGCGCTCGCCTGAGCGTATATATATATATATATGCTTCATGTCGGACTAAGGGAAAGGGAAAGGGAAAAAGAGTTTGGTATATTTCGATATGCGAAAAAAGGAGAGAGAGAGGACGAAAGGAAAGGAAAGGAAAGGCCCAAGGGTGGTAGAGGACTGAAAATGTACCCAGATTTGAGGGTGCTCTTCGTTCAGGATCGTGGCTGCAGCGTCGAGAGTGCAGGTGTTCGTGGGCGAAGAGAGGAGTGAGTGTCCTGCGCTGGCGCACCCAGTGTCTACCAGTTGTTCCAGATCCACCGTACCTCCTCCCGGCCAAAAGCCAGCGACGCGATAGGCTGACTCTTGCAGGGCGGAGATTACGGTCCTCGATTGCGACGTTGCTCGTCTCATTGGGAAGTAGGGTGCCCCCCCCCCCCCCCCGAGCCCGCCGGCGGCGGAGGTGTTGGCAATCGTATGGATTTCGTCAGGATGTTGGCGACCCCAGTGCCGTACTGCAGATGTCATAGATCCAACTAGATATGTAACGCGTGAATATATGAGAAGATGGGACGGGTCAACGGGTTTGCACTTGTCGTGTGTACCCAAGCTTGGGTGTCTCTTCGTTCAAGATGGCCGCTCCAGCGTCGACAGTCCAGGTCTTGCGGATCTTCACCAGTCACATTCACGTTCCTTACCGTTGTGCCGGCAAGCAATGCTTGCAAGTCGTTGACCGTCAGCTCCTACTGCTCGCTGTGGTGCAAGCTCAGTCCGTGGGCGAAGATCAGAGTGAGGGCGTTGGAGTCTGGGTCGGGATTCTTTGATGACCCACCGCCCGATGTCTGCCAGTTGTTGAAAATCCCTGTATCTCCTCCTTCTGAAGAGTCGCTGGCTACTCGAGCCTTCAGGCCAAGACCCAGCGACGCGATAGCTCGGCTCTCGCACGGCGTAGATTAGGTCCTGGGTTGCGACGTTGCACGGCGCACCTGGGAGTAGGGGCACCCACCACGCCTGCAGACGGGGGTGTCAATCGCGCGGGTTCCGTGCTGGAGTGCGGTCAGGACGTTGGCGACGCCGGTACGGTACCCTAGCTGTCATAGAACTAGACATGCAACGCGTGAGTTTGCAAGAAGACGGGTGGGGTCGAATGCTTTGCACTTGCATGGCCCTAGCAGTTGTCGTCGAGGATGAGGAAGAGGGTGCAAGGCTGGGTAAACGGAGAGATGGAGGTACGGACGAGATTAGATAAATTGCGTGCCCGTGGGTTGGGGGCAACGACTCGGAGTACTTGGATGCACAACCATGCAGTCTTGGGGAGATTGTGTCGGGTTTGGTGTTGCTGGACCAGGACGGGGGAGACCGGCATGTGTAAGTACTGATAATAAGCAGGGCATGCCGGGTCGATCTCAAGTCACCGGCCCGAGCTTCGCGGCTTATGTAACCGATCCCACGTAGAAACTCGGTCGACTCCCCTGACCTCCATATCATGGTCCTCGCTGCCCTACCCATCCCTGAGATCCCCGCCTATGCAATATCCAAACCCGCAATCGCTGCCATCGAGCCCCTTCGTCTCTCCATCACAACCACCCTCCCATCCGTCCGTTCCTCGTCCCGGCTTGTGCACCAATCCAATCTCGCGCATACCCCCAGATCCACACCAGCCGGGCTCTCATCTGCCGTCATCAGCTATCTGGTCGCCTTCTTCAATCCCGACGCGTCCCGCTCGCCCTCACTCTTCTTCAACGTCGGCCAGGCCCACGATCAGGTCGCTGTGCTTGTCTGTTATAATCGTGAGCTGTATTAGGGTACGTCAGTTCTTGTTCGCACTCGCTTTTCGCCAACTTTCCTCTTCTCAGATCAGAGCCCCCAGGTCCACCATGTGCAAGTCCCGCAGCCCCGTCAAACAGGAGAGGAACCGAACACCCCTCCCTTAGCCTCAAGTGTGAATTAAGAGATGTTCGACTATTCCCATCAGAGGCAAGGTGAAAATTCTTGGCACGTGGGACGGGCGCCTAAATTGTAATATATAGTAATTGTGATCCTTGCATCGTTTTCCACTACGGTGTTACTATACACTGACATCAATTCATCAATTGTGAGCTAGGTAATGATTGCATATAAGGTAAGACTCAAGATGGTCATTGCTATGTATGACTCTGAGTCCAGTGGGGGGTTGCATACTAAGTGGAGTTGGGTGCGGGATTTTCGGGGTTAATTTTCAACGACCTTTTCGGGCTGTGCTCAGCAAGGTCGGTCTGTAAGCACATGGGGTACAGAAAGCAACAATATGGTGTCAGCACTTGCCTTTTGCAACGACCTTTTCGGGCTGTGCTCAGCAAGGTCGGTCTGTAAGCACATGGGGTACAGAAAGCAACAATATGGTGTCAGCACTTGCCTTTTGCTGAACTTCAGGGGCTTCAAGGTGCCCGTATGACCCTCGGGGTTTAAAGTCTTGCATCAATCAATGAAAAGTGATATCAGGTTTGTTGAAGTTAGTATTATACTAGTGTTACATAGCGCATAGGAGCAGAAATTGGAACTCACCATGTCTTTAATCATATGGGCAAGTTTAGAATGTTCCTCGTTGAACATCACTACCAGCAGGTCTTTCACCCTGGGCGAAAGCTTGGCCACCGAAGAAAGGTCGGGTTGTCGTGACTTGAGGTTTGAGATAGCTTTGTCTATTATTTCAATTTTGCTTTCAAATTGCCGGATTTTTTTCAAGGACAGCGACGTGTCTCCGTCGCATTTTGAACCTGTTAATGAACATTTAGTAGCTGGTGCTTGAACTATAAAGGTTGTCTCTGTACTTGAGGCAGACGCCGCTTTCAAGTTGGACGATTTTGAACGGTCTAATCCCTGTCCTGTTGTTTCAATCATGGGAGTCAGCGAGAGTGTTACAGTACACCACCGGTTCACGCACCCATGGAGCTTTCATTGGGCAAATGTGAAAGAGGGGATGGGACGGGATGGAACGGTCCTACAGGTGGGCGCTTCCGGCGCTGATTGGGCTGATTGAAGAGATGCGGGACGAGTTTTGGGAGGAAGATGGGAGCCTTGCGAGGTTGAAATGGGGTGGGCATCCTCACTTTCGGGCGCGAAGCTCTGAGAGTTTCGAGGTGGTTGTGGGACGGGGCGCTGGACACCGGAGAGGACGCCATCTCAAAGGAAGGAGGGAGGGGAGGAAGGCCGTTTCCCCACACAGACCTTCTATCAGTGAATTCGATAGCTTTCGCAGGATCACACTTTCCCTATCGATGAGGGACGACGGGCGCCTAAATTGTTCCCCGGTGTCACGAGTTGCTATAGACTCCGTATGAAAGACTATCTGGTTGAAATTCTCGGCTGGGGATGGAAATATGTCCAAGCCTTCATCAGGTTGACGGCGGAATGGACGGTACGGTACTTGCTGTTTGCCTTGCATGAGCAGGCGGCACGGACATGCATCCTAGATCGTTTAATTAGCAGCACGCCTCGAATCACGAAGCACAAACCACAAACCACGGATATGCAAGACGAAGAACCGGAACCGCTACGTAATACGTACCCTCGTCCGAGTCGCCTTCGGATGCGAGAGCGAACACAACACACCGGGGACCTGCGTCACGACGCCGGCGCAAGGGCGAGCACGGCGCAACAAGGAACCCGAGCAGAAATGGCGCGCTCATGGCGCTGTTTCTCCTCTCTCTCTATCTCACAGCGGGTATTTTATTACAATTTAATACGAATTTTTTCGTCGTTTGTGGGGTTCGTAAGAAAATTGCTCTTTGCCGAAATGCCGAAATTTGATCGGAGATTGTAGTGCGCGTTGTAATTGGCTCACGGTCTTTGTTCGCTCTTTCGCTCTCACCATCCACATTCCGCCTCACGTCGACGCGTCTCCCTCCCTTTCACGCGTCTCCCCCCTTATAACTACCGTCAGCGCCCATTAAACACCAAATATGCTTGAAGCCAAGCTCCTGGAAGCGGGAACGCTCAAGAAACTCCTCGATGGTACGTCCCAACGCGACCACCAACCACGCGTCTTACGCGTCCCCATTCGCCTCTCCGTGCTTTTCTCGTGTGCTAACCACCACCTGCCACTTCCAGCGATCAAGGAGCTCGTGACAGACGCGAATTTCGAGTGCAACGAGGAGGGCATCGTCCTCCAGGCCATGGACAACTCCCACGTCGCCCTCGTGTCCGTCAAGTTCTCAGCACCGGCCTTCAAGCGGTATCGATGCGACAGGCCCATGCCACTCGGTGTGAATCTGACGAGTCTGACCAAGGTGCTAAAGTGCGCGAAGGACGATGATATCTGCACGCTGAAGGCTGCGGACGAGGCGGACGTGTTGAATCTGGTGTATGAAGCCAAGAGTGAGTGCTGCCGTAACTTTCTCCCCCCTTTTTTCGAGTCTCTTCGGGCAGTAGTCATCAACGTACCTCCGGTTGCGTTCTTTGACGCATCTTTTGGTGTCGCATTGAGCAACGCCCTACCTGCCTTGCTTCGTTACTTCCCTCATCGCGCAACAACGTGTCTGACCATGCTTCCTGTCTAGATTCGGACCGTATAGCAGAATACGACATGAAGCTGATGGACATCGACGCCGACACGCTGCAGATCCCCGAGACCGAGTACGACGCCCGCGTGACGATGCCCTCAGCCGAGTTCACCCGCATCGTGCGCGACCTCTCTCAGCTCGGTGAGTCCGTGCGCATCGAGGTCTCCAAGGAGGGGGTCCGCTTCGCCTCGGACGGCGAGGCGGCCAACGGTTCGGTCCTCCTCCGCCAGAGTGACGGTGTCGTCAGTGGCGGTACCATCCGGCCCAAGGAAGAGGACAAGGAGGGCGGCAGTGGTGATGCGGAAGAGGAGGACAACGAGGAGGGGAGCAGTAAGAAGAAGAAGGAGAAGGCGAAGGTAAAGAAGGAGAAGGGCGATGATGACGTCGATATGGAAGAGGAGGGCGACAAGGACGAGGATGGGAAGGATTACGAGCCCAAATCGGACGAGGAGGGCGAGGATGAGCGTAACGACGAAGAGGATCCGGAAGAGGAAGATGACGAGGAGGGTGGTAGCAAGAAGCGGAAGAAGAAGGTGCATTTTCTTGATTCTATCATTTATTCTTTCCTGATCTTTTTTGTTTAACTTGGGTAGGCCAACGGCTCCTCGAAACCAGTCAAGAAGCCCAAGACCTCGAAGAAAAAATCGAGCGACGACGATGATGGCGCAGAGGGCGTCGTCATCGAGATGAACCAGCACGTTCAGCTCACATTCTCCCTCAAGTACCTCGTCAATTTCTCCAAGAGCGCGTCGCTTTCGGGCAGGGTGCAGCTCATGATGAGCAACGACGTGCCTCTCTTGGTATGTTCGATTTCATCTCTTTTGGTCCTGGGTCTGATCGCGCTGGTGTATGTAGGTCGCGTACGACTTCAACCAAGGGTACATCCGGTACTACCTCGCACCCAAGATCGGAGACGACTAAACTCAGCGGGCGTTCGGGTCTCATTTTCTCCCTGTCCTCGTCGCTGCACTGCACCATGCACCCCTCGGACTGTTTCGTTTCCCCGTCCGCTCAAAATATCCTGCGATCTATTTAGTTCGAATGTTGGTCTCTCTCGCTGTGATTGTAATATATCTGTGCTTTCTGTTGGCTTTAACGTTGTGCCCCCCCAGCTGAAGATTCGTGTGTGGTATCCCCATCGGTGGAATCTGAAAGCAAGATTCCTCTATTTCCATCCACCAGGATTGTCGCAGTGTCAACATCCGACCCCAGACCGGATGGACAAACTAAGACCGTTGTTGCTCCCATCCACAACATCATTCGAGGGTTGGCGCAAGAGACAGTGTATTTTGGTTCTATTCATTGTCATATTGGTCATTAACGGCGCTCTCTATAGCCTCTTCCGTGCTTGGGCTTACCCTTCGCGCCCTGCGGAAGGCAGGGCGCTATCAAGGCCGGGAATATTTCGATTGAAGGGGGTACGACTATGCAAGAGACAGAAAATCCTGCGCCTCATTCGTTCAAGTATGCCGACGGAGGCTGCACGTCTGATGACCGTCAATACCGTGCTACTTCACGCCGCCTCTTAACTTCGATAGGATGGAACCGGCGTTGTCGTCGTCGCGGACGATAGCCTGCCAACTGCTCGACTACGTGATGATGTCCTCTGACAAAGACACGAAATGTGCGTCTGGTTGAGGCATCTCACACATCCAATCTAGTTGGTTTTTTTAGGCGGTTTCGTGGCTAGTGTACCTCCATATGCGTAGAAAGAACTGTAAGAGAAGGGGCACTGACATGTGGACAAGCTTGAGCGTCGCCTCGTTCAAAATCGCAGCCGCACCGTGGTTCGCAGCGTCGATAGTCCAGATCTCGCGGATCTTCACTTGCTTCTTCCCCTCCTTCTCGTTGCCAACTGCGCCGTCAAGCAGTGCCTAGCTTTCGCCGTTACAGTTTGGACTTTTCCTTCTCCTTTTCCCGCTGCTTCTCCTCCCTCTCCCTCCTCGCCTTGACCGCCCGCCCGACACGACTAGCGTTCTGCCGTCCAAGCTTCTCGCTGATCCACCACCCAATGTCTACCAGCTGCTCCAGATCCACCGTGCCTCTTCCTGAAAAGTCGCTACTTGAGTCTCCAGTCCATGAACCTGCAACACGATACCCAGACTCTTGCAGGGCATAAATCACATCCTCGGTCGCGACGTTTCCTGTCGCACCTGGAGAGTAGGGGCACCCGCCCAGCCCGCCGACGGAGGCATCGATTGTGCGGATCCCGTACGGGACTGCGGTCAGAACGTTAGCGACGCCAGTGCCATAGGTGTCGTGGAACTAGAAAGAATGAGATTCAAGTTTTTCCAACATGAATGACGGCCTTGACTCACATGTCCCTGGAAGAAAGCATTAGTATAACGAAAGTAGAAGCAAAGAAATGAAGCATACAGCCAACTTCTCCGCCGGCAACTCCGTCAACACCTCCTCCAGCATCTCTGCAACCTCATGGGGTCTCGCCTGTCCAACCGTATCTCCCAAGCTCACCTCATAGCACCCCATCTCCAGGAGCTCCTTCGCCACATCCCTCACCTTCCTGCTCTCCACGCGTCCCTCGAACGGGCAATACACAACCACGCTGACATACCCCCTGACTCGCAGCCCGCGGTCACGAGCCTCGCGGACGACGGGTGCGATTTTCTGGAGGGACTCGGCGACGGTGCAGTTAAGGTTGGCGCGCGTGAAGGAGGAGGTGGCAGCTGTGAAGACGGAGATCTCATCTGTCAAGGGTGGGGAGGAGGGCGAGGAAGGGTTGGAGGCGAGGAGGGAGAGCAGGTCGGAGAGCCCTTTGGCGTTGGGCACGAGCACGGCGTAGTGCACGCTTGGGACGTGGTAGAGGGATTTGAGCACCTCTGAGGTGCCTGCCATCTGCGCAGGTTGTGTTAGCATTCTGATTCTGCATAGTTTCTTATTGAACTGAGATGGATGGAAGAAGGGACGGACCAACCTGCGGAACCCACTTGGGACTCACGAAGCTCCCCGCCTCGACGTTCGTCACTCCTGCCCTGACCAGCCGCTCGATCAGCTCGACCTTTGTCTCCACCGATATGATTCCGCTCTTCTCGTTCTGCAGCCCGTCTCTAGGCCCGACTTCAACCAGGTTCACCGTCTGGGAGCTTGGTTCCGAGTGGTTCGTACTCCAGTGGTTGTGGGAGGCGGAGATGGAGGAGGTGGAGGCGAAGGATCGCGCGCTCACGCGCTTGAGGTGGGATGCCAGCCGGCGGGAGAGCATCCTCACTGGGTGGTGGAGAAGACGGTGGCGTAGAGCTCGAAGCACGGATCTTAGAGATTTGGGCGAACGGCGGGCCGGAATCCCGTCTCATGCAAGGATCGACGCTCATACTTAACATGAACAACGACCAAGGCAGCTTGGGCAGAAACATGAACGTAGTTGTATACATTGAGCACTGCGCACTGGTACTAAGTACTGGATATGGGATCATGACGAGGGAAGCAGAGGGTGATTAGGTACTTTACTTGAAGCTGGAGTAACTGGAAAGCACGACAAGATATGTTACACAAGAGAAGAAAGGGTTCGGTGAAAGGCTGTGGGTGTAGAAGACAGTCCAGGCCACAACCCACACCACGGATTCTGCCATCTAAACTGCGGCTGGAAAAAGACAAGGCCAACATATACATATGACCAATGTAGAGGCAGAGGGAGAACCGCTATCCCTGGCAGTCTCCCTCCTACAGTTGGTTATGTAGAGGAAGGAGCCGAGGTCTACTTGTCGGCGCCGGCCTCGACGGCCTTGTCCTTCACGTCGAGGCTCGCGCGTGCGAGCTTGCTTGTGAGATCATCGTTGCCCTCGGCGGAGATGTCGTCTGTCTTCTTGGCTGCTGCGGCGCCTTCTTGGTACGTGATGTCGACGTTTTCGAGGTTTTCCTGGAGGTGACGAACAAGGGGGTTAAAATGGGAACAGATGGCACATAAGGAAGGGGGCGAGGCAGGGAGGGAGGAGAATGGAGGAAAGAAGATGAAGGAAAGATAGGGAGGGAGGGTACGAACCTTGGCGGACTCCTCCTTGTACATGTTGAGGTCCTCGCGCATCTTGACGAGGTTCGGGTCCGCCTGGGCGAGGATGGCCATCCGGTTGACGGCCTTGATCGTCGAGGCAGCCTTGCGCCCTGTGCAAAAAAAAATGATGTTGATGAGAATGGAAACCCAAAAAATAGATTGCTGGGCGCTGGGCCCAGTGATGGACGAGAGGATAGGAAGACGTACAGAGCTGCTTGGCGTTGAACGCCTTCTTGACATTTGGCAGGAGATCGGCGGGTGCGCCTGTCTGGTCGAGCACGAAGTTCGTCTCTGGCGTCGCGAGCCACTGCACACACGCGCGCGCATCAGCACACCCAACATTCAGCCCGCGCCTGAACTACGCACCTTATGCGTCATGGCAGCAGCAGCTGTCGGCCTCTTCGCAGGGTCGACTGTCAAGCACGTTCGTACGAAATCCTTGGCTGTCTCGGTGACGTTCTGCCAGTACTCTGCCGGCTCGAACTTGTAGTCGCCCGCGATGATCGCTTCCATCTCTTGTTGCTGCGAGTCGCGGTCGAAGGGTGTGTATCCGGCGAGCAGGAAGTAGGTGATCACGCCCATGGCCCAGACGTCGACGGGTTTGCCGTGGCCAACTAGGGGTAGTAATTAGAGGAGGGAAGGAGGGAAGGAGACGAGGAGCGCACTCTTCTTGAAGATCTCGGGGGCCATGTACTGCACGGCATGAGTAAGGAAAGAAGAGAGAATAAAACGAAGCGTACTCCTGGAGTCCCGCAAATCTCCGTCAGCTGGTTCAACTTCTCCTCCTCCATGACTCTGCTCAGCCCGAAATCCGCGATCATGATGTCCGCATCCTCTGCCTGCGTCCGGAAGAGCAGGTTCTCGGGCTTGAGATCTGCGTCGGCCCTCGATGAGAGAACACTGCTGACGCCGACGGGCGCTAAAGACTCACCCCGATGCACGATCCCCGAGTCGTGGATATACTTGACCGCCTTGAAGATCGTCCGCACAAGCGTCGCGGCGTCCCTGGCAGATGTCCATGATCAACAGCAGAAAAAGTGGAGGGTGAGACAGACGCACGACTCGTAATAGTTCCCCTTGGCGCATATCCGATCGAAGAGCTCGCCTCCCGTGCACAGATCGAAGCAGAGGTACAGGTTGTGGGCGGTCTGGACGTGTGTGAGCGCTGCTCAAGGGTAAGATAGGAGGCAGATACCTCAAAGTAGTCGTGGAGGGTCACGACATTGGGGTGCCCACTCGAGACACGCTTGAGAACGGCGATCTCGTTGCGGACCTGGAAGAGAATTTGAGGAAAATAGATCCATGACATTCCAACCCTCCTCACCATATGTTCCCGCCCCTCCATGAGCCGCTTGTTGATCACCTTGCAGGCATAGTACTTGCCCGTCTGGATGTGGATCGCCTCTTTTACGATGGCGTACGTGCCGCTCCCGAGCGTCTTTCCGGTGCGATACTGCGCGCGATGAGCGGGGTCCCCGTTATTTGCGAGCTTTCATACCTGACAGGGCACTGTGACGGGCATCTCTGAGGGTGGACGCGGGGGAAGAGGAGGCTAGGAGTCAAGAAGATGAGCGTTTGATTCTGATAAGTAAAAGGTGTGCACAGCCACCGACTAACCGCAGTCTCGTAGATCGGCCGCGAGTAGTCTGAGCTCTCCTGCGACGACGATGCCCCCACCGCCACTGCCACTGCCACCGCCGACGCCGCTGCTGCGGGAGTTGCTGAGCCCGCTGACGGAGCCTCGTTTGACCCCGTCCGCCCCTTCCCGTTGTGCCGTGACGACCCACCAAAAGCTGCCTTGAACGGTGACTTGAGGTCTGCTCGCGAGTACCGGTTCTTCACCTTGTCGAGCGGGTTGCTGGTTAGTGTTGAGTCACTGGAACTTTGCGTGTTGCCCATGGTTGTGGTGGTGGTTGAGGTGAGGTGGTGGTTGGCGGAGGTGAAGGGGTTGTTACGTCAAGCTCCTGCTCGGCGTCGTTTCAAGTTGAGGTCAAGGCTGCTGCGCGCTGGCGGCGACGCTTGGAATGATGGACTGATGGTTGCCGAAGCCGACGAGCTCAGCGGAGGTGAGGTTGGTCAACGTCAAAGTCCAGGTTAAATACGAGTTTACATAGTTGGATTTAGACACTGCCACGCGTAAACTGCACCCCCGCCTCCTGGTGTGCGTAATGGGCATCTATACAGTTCCGAATGCGCTGCTCCGAGGCGGTGGCTGTGGCCCTGCTTATTTCCCCTGCCCTGCACGATGGCAGTCCTCTTGGCTGTAAGCGTCATTTTGTACCTGCAGCACCGACTAACGCCAAGTGAGACATCGAGAGGTGAGTTCGTTTTCACTCCAGGGACTGCAAGCAAATGCCTCATGCCTTGTACCTTATAGGAGGAAGCCGCGGATCCAACCTTTCGAGCAACACACGAGGATCAGGAATCAATTATTTTGAGCGCAGCCGCGTTGGCAGCGCTGGAGAGTTGTTCTTAAAGCGAGTTCTATTTTTAACCCGCAGTTATCATAGCGGCGGTGCGTGCGCCTTATCCTTGTCGACCGTCTACCCGAGCACCTGCTCTATCATCATTAGAAAAAAAGCAGCCATCCTCTAGATCATACCGCGACCTGCCACCTCTGGTCGGCAGGAACGCACATGTCCCATGGCCCAGCTGGTTAAGGCGTCCGACTGTTATACACATTTCTTACAATACATCGGAAGATCGAGAGTTCAAACCTCTCTGGGACAGTGACAAGAGAAGAAAAATATTTTGTCGTAAGCTCTTGAGATGGGGGAAGCGAGCTGAGGAGAGGTGTGTGCTTAATTCGGCTTTCTTCATCCTAGAGCTACACTACATACCTGATCATGGCAGAAATTATGTCTGTTACAGTTTCTGTCTGCCAGCAGGGAATCAATTTGGCTGCTGAAAGTTCTGCAGCTTCATCCTCTGTGATATAATGCTATCCAAACGGAGTAGAGGTTGGTGGCTCCACGACCCATCCCGCTGACGCCGAACAATTCAGCATTCAGGCAAGAGCGGGCGAATCGTGTATGGACTAATTTTGGTTCAGCAGGATTCAACCGTTGAACTGGATACTTACTCTGTCAAAATACCTTTATTGGCTTTCCTCAGAAGGTAGAATTCGCTCTTGGGATACTAGGTTGGAGACCTCTCAACTCATACAACAGGGGCATAAATCACATGATCTCTCAGCCAGTATAAAATTTCTAAATCTTCGCAGGCTTAGTTTCTTTCGAACCCTCACACTAGCTGTCGCGTTCTGCTCAGTAACTCTCTTTCGTTTGTCGAGAGCGGGTATTGTTGCGAGGGCAGATGGATCATAGGACTCACTTAAGCCGGAGCGCCTCGCAGCCTGTAGTGTCCCCTGCTTGCTCCGCAGTGGAATGCAAGGTGCTTGACTATGCGGTCCATACACTACTCTACTTACATTAGACTGAATAAATATCCATCCCGGAGTCCTTATGCACGCTGGCTGCTCCTCCGAAGAGAGGACTTCGCAAACCTAGACTGAGCCCTGCACTGCCGTCAACGATGGCGATGGCGATGAAAGTGATCACAATTTGGTGTGACACGATGTGACAAAAAAGTTGGAAAGCGGGCTTTTTCAATCGTCCACTTACACTACCATGGCCGCAGTTCAGGTTCTTTCCATCACAACTCCTCCAGTTCCTGCATCCTATAAGTCACCGAATGTACCCTCGGGGTCCCGAATTTCCGGTATGTTCTTTGAAGGATCCAAAATCTCTAAGGAACCCACCGCCCGGCCTTTGATATCTAGACCCCCATCCATCGGGTCATCGCACCCTCCTACCTGTAGGACCCGCATACCTCACGCACCTGCGCTTGTCGTTACACCACAAGCACTCGTTCTCGTCCCTTGATAAGCACCTTGCTGCCGAACGCGAGCGTCTGGCCGCCCTCCACGGAGATGACACGAACGGAGAAGATGATCTCGGTGTGGGCGACGAGGAGGAAACGCAGGAGTTATTGAGTTTGGATCCAAAGGAATGGAAGGTGTGTCTTTTATGCCTTTTCACGGACGATATTTGATGCTAATCGGGTGCCGTGCAGAAACAAGACCACTACGCCGTCCTCGGTCTCTCGCATCTTCGTTACAAGGCCACGGCGGCGCAGATCAAGATTGCGCGTATGCCCATCTCCTTCCGATGCACCTCTTCCTCTCTGACTATACATCAATGCGTAGATCGCAAAAAGGTGCTGAAGCACCACCCCGACAAAAAAGCCGGCTCGACCTCGACCTCAACTGCCCACAATTCGCTCTACCTCGCCGGCGTCAATCAAAACACGAATGACGATGCGTTCTTCAAGTGCATCCAAAAGGCGCACGAGGTCCTGACCAACCCCGAAAAGCGCCGCCAGTTCGACTCCGTTGATCCTGTTTTCTTGGACTTTGAGGAGGACATGCCGAACGCGACGGAGTTCAAGGTACGTGGAAGTGCGCTCTGGAAGCAAATCGTAGCTCACGGGATCCGCGACAGAACAAGAACCTCGATTTCTTCAAGACGCTCACGCCGGCGTTCGAGCTCTACGCTCGCTTCTCGAAGAAACAACCCGTTCCTGGGCTCGGCCATATCGACTCGACGAAGGAAGAGGTTGAAGGCTTCTACGACTTTTGGTACAATTTCGACAGCTGGCGGAGCTTCGAGTGGCTGGACAAGGAGATCAACGAAGGCAGTGACAGGTACGCCGACGACCGCTCGGATAGTACAATGAGGATGCTAACCCTCGTGCAGCCGTGATGACAAACGCTACACCGAGAAAAAGAACAAATCGGAGCGTGCGCGCCGAAAGAAGGAGGACATTGCGAAGTTGAGGAATCTCGTCGACATGACTCTCAGGTAATCTCTGCCATTCTCCTCGGGGCTTTCCTCAGTGCTTTCCTCAGTGCTGATGATCCGTTGCAGCTTTGACCCTCGCATTAAACGGATCAAGCAACAGGAGAAAGAAGCCCGCGAGGCGAAGAAGCGTGGTGTCACCCCTGGTGCACCAGCAAAGAAAACAAAACAACAGGAGGAGGAAGAGAAAAAGAAAGCTGAGCTCGAGGCGAAGCAAAAGGAGGAGGCAGAACAGGTTTGTGTTGCGTTTCGTTTAATCTCGGGATGGCTTGCTCACATGTCTTGTCTTCCTCTCAAGGCTGCTCGTGCGGAGGCAAAGAAGCAGAAGACGGCGGCTGCTAATGCTGCGAAGAAGGCAAGAAGACAGCAGCGTGCAGCTGAGGAGGCTGCCGCTGGTACTTAGACTTTCTATTCTGTCTTTGTGCCATGCAGCTTTGTAGACAACATTATTTGTGAGATTTCTGAGAACCAGCCTTATTGAACTTTCATGACTCATTGCAAATCAAACATTTCTGGTTTTTTCCTTGCTTACAAGGGGCTGCTCGGAGTGTATCAGATTCTGACTGATATCTCCATTCCCTTTAACCTGATACAGGAAAATCCTCAGGCCGCAAGTACGTATCAACATCTTTTCTCTCTGATACGCTCTCCCTTGTATCCTTGTATCCTCCTAAATTTCCTCAAGCATGAATAGCGGCTTCCAGACACTGAGCTACACAAATTTGATCCATGCTCTGCCTATTCACTCCTGACGGCTGCCAAGCGGTATTGGCGACCCTCCACCTTTAACTCTCCAGATCCTGACCCTAACATGCTGACTCTGATCTTCGCATACAGGACAGGCTTTCAGAAGGAGCAATGGGAGCCCATGATTGATGACTTGCAGGCATTGCTTGATGATGCGGCACGGAGTGGGGAAGGAGGGGAAGAAAGGAGCGAAGACCGTGAGATATGGACGATCGACACTGTGAAGCACGGTGCAGCATCAGGAAAAACCCCTTTATAGAAAGTGATGGCTTATAGCCAAGTGATTGCCTTATGTGATCTAACATGACATAGGCAAGCGGTACCTTAGGCCAGGCTTCTGGTGCATCCTGCTTTCCGAGCCCAGCATCAACTTTGGCAGAAGTCTAAAAATGACATGTACCTGTCTGATATGTGTACCTTTGAGTAAAGGAAGTGAGCCTAAACATGCATACTGAAATAAATGTGTGAGATACCCTGCAAGCCCATGGACTGTGCTTCATTGGTGTTAAGGGCGACTATGGTGTCAAATCTCCCATGGGGAAGGGCATTCAATGTTGGCAGAGCTTTGACGGTATCCCTCTCTTCTCCATCAGGGTCGTCATGAAGGCTGTGGGGATGAAACTTGAATTGGGAATAAACATTGAGACATTGAATGGGTAGGTCATAGAAATTGATTTCTCAATGAGAATATGGATTTTTTTGGAAGGTGTTTAGGTAGTCTCTTAGGTCTTTCGAGAACGATGGGCTTTTATGATGTTGTTCTATGACGGAGAGCAGATGACCAGGGTAGGGAGGATATTTGGCAATTTGAGGAGCTGCACACTGTTGAAGAGGACATAGCAAGGGGGCCTGAATGCTATCAAGGTCTTCATCTTTCCAGTCAAGATAGTTGTCAAAGAGAGAGATCTTTTCTTGATGTGATAGCCAGGTAATCATCTGAGGAAATTCATCACATTTGTTGGAAGAATGCCAACCTTCTTTTGCAAAGTCAATGTGGAAGTGTTCAAATGCCTCTGTATTGTAGTTGTCAGTGGTTCCAAACATCTTGATGGATTTGACATAGTGGAGCAGAGAGTGAAACTTGGGAATATTGAGATCTTTGCAAATCCCAAGGTCAATGAAGATCTGTTTGTTTTCATTCCATGTGTCCAGAGCATTCTGCATATAATGCAATGTGTGGGTATCATGAGCTTTATAATGTGCAAGATTTATGAAGTCTAGAATGGCTTTTACTGCCTTGATACCAGTTTTTGCTATTTTGCCAATGAGACAGCCCAACAGGATGCGTGACATATGTTTGCGCTCAGGGCCTGAGATCTGCGATAGAACTGAGAAGCCGTTCTTGAAGTGTCACACTCCAAATGTGGGCAGAAGAGTCTGGACTCTGGACATCGAGCTCCTCGACTGTCATAGTGGTTTGACACCAGGTGATCAGGTGCTTGAGAACTCCCTGGTAGAGTTGATGGAGGACATCAGGAGTTATAGAGAGATTAATGTCTGCTAAGGGAAAATCTTTCCAGAATGGCTCATAGACACTGCCAGATACGTCTGATGACATGCAAATCTTGTAGAATTGAGCTGGAGTTTGCAAAGCTGTCGTGGCATCTTTGATAATGCTGGATGTCCAGCTCTGGATGCAGTCCTCAGTGGCAGTGTCGTTCTGGAGTTCTGTGGCTTTTGCTTGGCATTTTGGGCAAGTGCCATACTTTGTACATGTTACCAGACACTGTTCTGGCAAGTCTGCAACATAACATGCAAGGATGGGAAAGACCTGTCAGACCTCCCCATTTCCCCCAGTCATCTCAACTCCTGTCTGACTGGCCTCTATGAGGGGAAGAAGAATGTGGTCCATAGACTTGTGGAATAAACATTGATAGCGTTTGCTGACCTCCTTCTTTGCAAAGGTTTGCCACTTTCAATGCAGTTGTTTTGGTGGGCAAATATCTGATGAGAATGCAGGCTCGTTTTGAGGGTTTCCAACAAAACACCTTTGGAATGTTGCCAAGGGTAAGGTAGACCAGATAGGCCACCTTTCCCTCTGAGAACTGCATCAACTGGGTCTTGTCTGTGGCTATTATCACAGGTGCTAAGGTCGCCCCATCTGGCAGCTGGCTCTCTAGATAGAGAATATTCGATTTGGAGTAATGCAGACTAGAAATGGGCTCTCCACTGACCTGAACAGCATGCCACCATTGGCCTGTCCACATTTCAGTATATATACAGTTTTCTTGGCTGGAATGAGAGAATATTTCCCGAGGCCAATAGACAAGATGAGAGGCAAGGCCTGGATCACCCCAAAGGCTCTTGATGGCTTTGAGGGGATTGTGGTATTGAATAGTGAAAGGGGAATCTGGGAGGTCATTAAATATCAAATGGTCTGTCATCCAATTCCCTGCTCTTTCTGGAATATTGCTATCGATAACTTGATGTAATGAACATATGTTCTTAAATGACAGCCCTAATTTCTCAACAACCTGAAAGAGTTGCATTAGGTCAATGAGAAAGCCTACTAGGTGGGCAGCTTACACCTGGAATAGAGAGAAGTCAGTCAAAGGATTTGTGTCTGATGCTGTCTTGGATGACTCATCTGACAATACATTAGTCCATCTCACTAGCAAAGGGAGCGTACACTTTATCAACTGTGGAAGACGAGTCCCCCTGGGTGGTGTTTTCACCATGACTGTATAAGGTGGACCACCGTTGATGAAGAGTATCATCCATTTGTATCCAAGTTCCCACTGAATTATCTTTGAGCACCACTCTTATATCATCATCTTTGTCCAGGACTCGCACTTGGTTATGATTCCTGTGCTGGGTGGTGCTGGGACCTGGGCCTGCCTCTCTGATCTCAATTAGCTCTTCTTCAGCTACAAAATGATACAGCTCTCTGTCAGCTGCATCCCACTGCTCTTGAAGATCTTGAAGGGCATCTTCAAGCTCCTGAGGGGATACCTGGGGCAGGGGGTGAGCAGAGTTCATGTCAGGAATATCCAGAGGGGTTGGAGCTCCATCACCCGAATCCTTGGCATCATCAATGACAGAAGCCTGAATTTCTCTTTTCTTGCCCTTCCCCCAGGTACGGCATAATGCAGCCGTTTTCAAGTGAGAATTGAGACCTTGAGCTGTTCCAAAGAGCCGAGTACAAACAGGGCATTCAAGGAAAGGGCGTTCAAGGAAGACCATGGAAGCAGGAAGTGAGAATGATGGACTTGGACAGCCAATGTAACCTTGATTATAGTTACCACGATGTGAACTCACAGCTGGAGGGCAGAGGACTCAGAACATGCATCTGTTGAAGTTTGGCAGCAAAATCACTCTACGTTCAAATATGTGTTTCGACAACATGTGATTTGTCATATGGATTCTGTCCTGACTGTAAGCAGAGCTCATAGCTTTCAATCCCCAGATCCAGGCAGGTTTACTAAGATTTGTTATGAACAACAACAGGGCTACAGCATCTCTGAGGCAAGGACATACTAGTACTTCATTCATGAGAGCTGTGCTTGACGGCTACATTGCTGCAGATATGGTAGCCCCACTAAGTATCAAGGCCTGTTTTGCAATAGTTCAGCAAATAAGTCACTTTTTGGCAACAAAAGACTTACCCAAATACTTCTCTGAAGAAATTGGGCTGGGTTAGACAATAAGAGAGGTTTCAACACGGATGTGACTTCAGCTCGTCAGTGGGCCAAAGTCTCACAGTCCTTATCTAATCATTTTTTTTCACCTTGACAGACATGTTGGTGTCTTCAATCTTGCAAAGTGTTGAAATGCATTGCCAATGGCCAAGAAAATTGTACCAGATAATGAGCGTCTCATCAGAGATGCCACCAAGAACCAGGTTGTGATAAACACAAGCAAGTGTTGTATCACCACCTTTATATTAGTATCTGATTATCTCCTTTCTAGTGTCTTTGAAGCCAAGCATCTCACTGGTCGCAAGTTTGATGACCCAGAGGTTCAGTCTGAGATCAAGCGCTTCTCAGTCAAAGTCTTCAGCACTTCAGCTTCAGCCTTCAGCAAGCTTACACCGAGGTCGAGCACTGTGTGGTGTTCCATCTGCCTGTAAAGTGATGCCGCCTCTCTCTCACCACCCATCCGCCACTCTGATTTCAATCACCATCCGAGATGCCTATGAGGGGCAGACAACCACTGGCATGTCGCATACCCAACAACACTGAACTCGCAGGTTCAGCATTGGCATTAGCCACTCTGGGCACCACAAACCGCCATCCGCCTTCCCACCTGTATCTGCTGCTACCATGGCCCTTTGCCCTGTGCTGTCCTCCAACACCTCTATGGCATATGGACAACCACAGTGCTTTCCAAATGGTGATTCCAGCGAAACCAGCAACTACCTCAATCCCTACTGTGCTCATCCTCAACATCACCCACAAACCCTAGCGCCAATGCCGTTACCAACGCAAATCCTCCTGAACAGCTCATGATCAGGCTTAAGCTTTCTCCCAGCAAATCCAGCTCTTCCTCCACATCCACATCCACAATGACAAGTTCATCTACACCTCCACCAAAACCTTTGCCACCGAAATCTCACCACCTCTGCTGACAAGGATAAATACTTCAACTTCTTCAGTAGCCTCAAAGGCATCAAAGATGCAACAGTAAACCTCAAGTGAACAGAGCTGAATCTATGACAGCACCCCTACAATCTGCCTCCACATCTAGTGCCGATATGCAAATACCAAATTTACCAGACCCTGATATTTCCATTTGGTCACATCCAGCACCTCTTACCACATATCCCTTTACTTCTACAGGTCAACGAACTACTAGTTCCCCCTCCTTTTCTTCCATTCCTCTGCTACCCATCCCAACCCACACTCTGAGTGGCAAACCCATCCGAGTCCCAGTCTCTACTCCCATGTCAAGCCACAACCCAACCCCAAAGTTGACACCCCAGCCAGAAGAGTCATTGTTAAACAGAGCCCCAAGCCCAAAACTGTTCCTCCTAACCATTGTTGAACCTGCTAGTTCAATGTTGTTTCGTTCAATGTCATTTTGGGGCTCTATCCCCCTATGAACTGCCACAATTGCCTCTCTCACCCTGCTCTGATTTGCCTGCTCTTTGTCTTCATCACCCTCTGACACTTGGACATACCCTCGACACGACCGCAGAATGCGCAGAATACACCCAGTGATGCTGAAAGAGATGTTTCAGTCCTCCATTTGCCCTACAACCCCTTCCTACATCCTCCATCCTCTCACCTCCTGTGTCCACCTCCACCCGCCCTTTGTCTTCTGCCACCATCTGACACACCTACGAGCCACAGAAGAGCACATTGCATCCACAACAACACTGAACCTGCATGTTTGGCATCATTTTGGGGCTCCATCTGGTCTGCCCACGAACCGCCACCTTCTGCCTTCTCCATCCCACCCTCTGCCTTCCACTGTCCTCCAACACCCCTACAGATAGGCAGGCAGTGGGCTGTTAATCCTATGGACCTGGACAAGGAAGATGATGATAGTGTCTCAGAGGTGAGTGAGGACAGTGAGAACAATTCAGAAGAGATTAAGAACCTGAAGGTGTGTTTTTGTGTCTTGGATACTTGCAGGATTCTTGTCTCATGTTATTTAACCTCAGGCACTTTGCAGGTCCTGTTCTCAAAGCAGCCATGTCAGCTAAAAATCTATATCAAACCCTGTGTTTAGCCAGTGTGACCTCACATGTCCAGACTGTTTGAGCAGTCAGGTTTTCTGAGGCTGGTGGGGTGAGTTTGCCTGGGATGCTGGGGCCATAGAGATTTGTTTGGGGATGGGAGAGGGTAAATAAATGACCAAACAATCCTCCCGGGGGTGGGGTGGGGTTGGGTAGGCCTGCAGGGGGCGGGAGGCATGGGAAAAGCATGGGAAATCTGTCCAAAACAGGCAGGAATGGTGGGGGATGCATAATAGGGGCTAGTGGGATGGCAGGGTGGGTTCTGGGTGTGGCAGGGGCCTAAAAATGGGTTGGGCAGGGCTAGATATGCATGCTAATAATTGTCATGGCCCCCACAGGGTGCGGGATGGGCTGGGGGAGCCAAAAACGCGAAAAATCCAGAGTCGTTTGCATTTTTAATACAAAACAATTGAATAACAAATTGAAAACTTGATATTTCGGCATGAAACTTTTGGGACCTTCGCATCCATGGTGGAGGGTGCTTCATGAATATTTTGAGTATTTATTATGAATTATGAGGTGCGCCACACAGCCAGGAATAGTGTGTGCAGCAGGGTTTGATGTGCTTTGCCAAATTTGGCAATAAAATGATGGGTGCACATCCGTGCATAATTCTGGCTCCCCCTGACATTATTTTGCTTAGCTTTGGCTGAGCGAAATGTTGAGTACATTGATACCTTCCTGTAGACCCTCCTATCATGTGAAACGGGTAAAAACTCGTTGAGATATGATGAACATGATTTTGGCTACTATAATACATGGTGCACCCATGCATCCTTGGGCACATTTAGGGCCATTTCACTTGGCCAAAAATCATGGAATACATGTCTGAGAGTAATAGTACCATTGATAATGCCAGGGGGTGTCTGGGTGTAGTATATCTGAGGGGGGGTATAGGTACACCAGGAGACCCTCTCCAAATACCCCACTAAACGTAGCTCTGAAAGTCTGAAAGTTGGTACGTGAATAGTGTATATTTATTCATGAATTTAACATATTTTAACATATTTTTATATGGCCTTGAAGCTGGGTTATTGACCGATTTCCCAGGATCTAAGATATTCTATTAACCTCCAGGATGGGGGGTATTGGCACATGTAAGGCCATGATAAATGACGATAAATGCATAGAAACAGAACAAGGTACTTTGAAGAGCAAGGGAGTGTGTCTGCGTAAAGTTATTAAGAGGAGAAGGAGGAGGTAGTCCCCCACATCAGTATCTATCTATATACTTACCAAATCCACATATCGCACCCATTCGATGGTGTGTTCAAGTTAGAGTAATGTTCCTTAGCATATTTTAGTAGTGATGGGTGAGGCTCTGATGCCTGGGTGGAATGATATTAACGAAAGAGCTGAAAATGCATGAAAAACACGAAAATAATTAAAATGAGGACCTCAGACTTGTTCAAAAATTACCAAACTTTGTATATGATGAGGTATTAGCACTCTGAAGAGACTGCAAAAGACTGGATGAGATTCTGAGCAGTGGGTGGAACGATATGAGAAAGGGTACCCTAGCAACAGCAATAGCCTCAACTTCCTATCAACATCCTGTAGCAACTTTGTGTTGCCTCTGGTGCTTTTGGAGTTCATTTCGCATATCTTTCCACCTACTGGTCAGAATCTCATCCGGTCTTTTGCAATCTCTTTAGAATGTTAATAGGTCCTCATATTCGAAGTTTGGTAATTTTTGAACAAGTCCGAGGTACCCATTTTAATTATTTTCGTGTTTTTTTGCGCATTTTCAGCTCTTTCTCTAATACCATTTCCCCCAGGCATCGGAGCCTCATCTGTCATTACTGAAATATGTTAAGGGATATCATCCTGACCTGAGTGCACCATTGAATGGGTGCAATATGTGGATTTGGTAAGTATTTACATAGATACTGATGTGGGGGATTACCTCCTCCTTCTCCCCTTAATAACTTTACACAGATTCATCCCCTTGCCTTTGCAAGTACCTCAATCTGTTTCTATACATTTATTGTCATTTATCATGATTTTAAATGTGCCAATATCCCCTCTCCTGGAGGTCAATAAAATATTTCAGCTCGTGGGAAATTGGTCAATAACTCAACTTCCAGGCAATATAAAATTATGATAAAATATGTTAAATTCATGGATAAATATACACTATTCACGTATATACTTTTCAGACTTTCAGAGCTGCGTTTAGTGGGGTATTTGGAGAGGGTCTTGTGGTGTACCTATACCCCCCCTCATATCTACTACACCCAGACACCCCCTGGCGTTATGCAAGCTGCCATTACTCTCAGGCATGTATTTCATCATTTTTGGCTGACTCAAATGGCCCTAAACATGCTTGAGGATGCATGGGTGCACCATGTATTATAGCAGCAAAATTGCATTCATCATATCTCAACGAGTTTCTACCCGTTTCATGCGATAAGGGTGTCTACTAGAAGGTATTAATGTACCCAGCATTTCGCTCAGCCAAAGCTAAGTGAAATAATGCGAGGGGAAGCCGAAATTCTGCACAGATGTGCAGCCATCAATAAATTGCCATGCATGAGGGGTAATCCTGTAATATAAGCTGCAATACTGAGCATGTAAACACATGGGAGGGCTCGTTTGAAAGCTCTATATATTCTCTATAGAATTGTTGACCTGCCCCAAGGATTAGATGCCTGAAAATGGTAGAGAATTGAGTGCGCTTCTTTGCTATTTTTAGAAAATGTGCTCTATAAGGGAATAGCATAGTCAATACTGACTGCACAACCAATTTTAAGGGGTAAAATTAAAGGTAATGCACTACCCTAAATTATCACATAGGTTATTTGAGTTAGGGGGGCATGAGAGGGGGCACATTTGGTGCACATTTTCACAATTTTGGTGTATAAACCACTGTTTGCACCGTATCTTTACCAAAAATAGGTCTATCCTGATGTTCTTGGTGTCTACAGAAAGCTAAAATTATGTATAATATCATCGCATAATTGTTTCATCCATTAAGAGGTGTGGTGTAACAAAATAAGCCATGGATGAGGCCAGCAGAGCCTATTTTGATCCCTCTATGTCTGCATTGGGAATGAGCACAGCCACAGCCAGAAGGCAGATTCTCTGAGGTGAGGACATCAAGAATTGATGGATCACATCAGTGACATCATTCTCTGATGTCATGAGCTGTCAAATTAAAAATAGCTATGGATCTAAAAAAAGTGCACTGCCAAGGTAATGTGGCACCTCATACAGGCCAATTCACCTCCTCCCCCATACCAGATTGTCCCAGAAAGGATGCAGAACAGTCCCCGGGCCTCATCAAACCCCTCCCAAGCCTTTTCTGTCACTGAAACAGTCATTCCTAGCCCTCTCCAGCAGCAGAGGGTGGTCTGGGGTCCATGGATGGGCAACTCCCCACCCTGATGCATCCAGCATTCTGGGGAGTTTCCCAGTTTTAAATGTTTCAGCTAGCAGATATTGGTGGTCTGGCAGTCTGTCACACCCTCCAGGAGTGATTTGAGGCAGATGATCTCTGCCACATCACCTTTGTCTATGTTCCGTCCACTCTTTGGTGGGACATCCATGATGAGGCACACAAGTATGTCACCGAGCTCAAAGTCAGGGTTGGACATCACAAGACGGAAAATTCTATCAATGCACTCTGCTCCCAAGCAGCACACTCAGTCCTGGATTCGTGGAGTTCCACTTTCCAGGATCCAACTTATAGAGGCTCTGATTTCTTAGAGCTTCAATGGCCTGACAGGCAGCTGATTCAGCCATCGTACCTCAATGGAGGACCTTGGCTTTCATACTTCGGACACAGTATTTCTGAGTTCGCTCGCATTTGCTGGTGCATAACTGGCCACGCGCCCATTGGAGTGTACTACCATCGCTTCAAGATCAATGAGCCTCATGGCTGCACTTGCAGGGCTGCTTTGCAGTCTCGCCAGCACGTCCTCTTTCACTGTCATGATCGATACTCTGTACACTATCTCCGTTTTCTCAGGGATATTGCATTGTTTCTGAAGCACAACCCTACGGTGTTTGGCTTCAACCAGGACCGCTCGGGTGTCGGATAACCACTGCAGGCAGGGTTATTCTTCCTTTTGGAGGATTTATTGGTGAATTGACACCCTCAAACCTTAGGGTTCGGAGACCTGCACCTGCAACAACTCATTCGTGCAGACGGTCAGCCTCTATTGGTTGATCGCAGCACCACTAACTTTCTGCGTCTGGTTTTGGGCAGGCACTTCTTTGGCTGGTCGGCCTCAAGACACCTTGCCACCTCCCAGGTGGTGCTGTTCTTATCTCATTTGCACTGCGTGGCCTCCAAACAGTGATTGACAACTTTGGGGCATAGCGGAACCTCAATGGTTTCCTCCCCTTATCCCGATGCACCGTTTTCGTGAGGTGGGTTGCCCTCTGGGAAGTTTCGATGTATACACCAGAAGGGTCTTGGTTGGGGAGGCGGTTGTCTTTAAGTAGTTTACTTAGTACCCAGGCCGTGTAGCATACATGTTTGTAGATAGTGAGCAGGCTGCCATCAAGCACCGCTATATAAATTGTTGATCAAAAAAAAGACATCTTAAGACTTGGTGCAAGTTGAAGGGAATCCCAGTGCTCATCCCCCCTGGGAGCAGATGAGAATCCATGGCGACAAATTCTATGCGGTGGCGATGGTGCCAGCTGACTACTTGCATAGCCCTGGTGTCTGCCGTAATTTCCTGTTCAGTGACTCCACTTGAATGCCAGGAGCGCTAGTTGGTGAACTCATTGACCATCTCAGAGGCAGACAAGCAGCAGAGGGACAGCTGAGTTTTATGTTCACGCATATGCTGTCAGAAGGCAAGTTTGTTTTGGCAACTTATCCAGAAGGGTGTAGGGAGGCATGTCAGAAGGCTCAGGAATTTGGCAGTTATTCCTATCAGCAGGAGGATGTTGTGGCTGGCGATATGGAGATGGAGTTTGATGGACTGGAAGAGGAGGCGCATGTGGAGGGAGTGCCGCCACCTCAGCCTGCTGCTGATACTTCAGGTCCGTCTTCTGAGCCAATAATGCCGCATAAGGAAGGCAATGGATTGCAAGGCCAGAGTAAGGATGCGGCTGGGACTGGTGCCCGAGTGGTGGCACCTTGGGTGGCGACCTCCAGAGCACCACCACAACCACAGGCTCTTGATCCCCAGCTTGCTGAAGTCTCACTAGCACCAGCGATCATTTCCCCTACACGCTCCTGCCAACAAGGCTCCAGCTCCATCACACAGCCACCATACTCTGATCGCCCTCGACATTGGATGCAAGGCTTTGTTTTTGGTCTGCCAGATGGTGCAGGGTTTGTGTCAGACGCTAAATGTGCCTACCCATACAACATTCCTGGCCATGCCAACTATGATCCAGCCCCAGGCTATGGACCAGATGATGGATTTCTGCCTCCAGCACACCCACCTGTTAAGTGGGGGCCTTCCTCCACACCAGTGCCTGAGGTATACCGGGCACCAGGGGTGGCGGTGCTGCTTAATGACATGTCCGCCATGAGTCAGCGAGGGTCTCCACCTTACGCCCAAATTAACGCAATGGCACCATCTGCAATTGCACAAACCACTGGCACAGTCCTCCAGCCCCGATCTATGCTGCACAACACAGCAGCAGGGGAGATGCTCCCACCCCTCATATTCCTGCCACCACTGTCCTTCATCTTTGACTTTGAGTCTTAGTTAGGCGAGCACAGGCAGATTTCAACCCCAGGGATTTCCATAGGGTTAAACAGCCATGTGGGAAATCTGCAGGCTCATCCAACCCCCGTGATGGGGGGGAGTGCAGCAGGAAACCATGTTATTCCTGATACAGACAGGTTCTTCCTGCATCAGCACTCAGTGATGCTGCAATCACGGACAGCATGGTCTGATGCCCCATTGCCAGTCATCAGGACCCTTCGGATAAAAAACACGACTACTCCTGCAGTCAGTACTCGTGTCACCGTTCTGCCACTGCTTTGTCCAGGAACCTTCACACCGCCAGAGTTGCTCAAAAAGGAAAGAAGAAAAGATAACTGGGGGACTTTGTTGGATATTCCAGTCACAATGTAATGTATTATGTAGCTATTGTACGTGTTTTTTGTAGCTACATATACAGAGGCCAAGGCAAAAAAAGTACAACAAATTGTCCAATGAAGATATATGCAGTCTGCGTCATACAAGACGAGACCCACCTGGCGATCACCTCCCTGCCATCGTTGTTCCAGCTGGGGCAGCGCCTGGGCACTGGCGAAGGAACTGCACGGGGGCATCTGTCTGCTGAGACAGCCATGGGTGCTACCCTGAGATATTTTAATAGACAGTTGTCTATTGAAGGTTAATACATCAGAGCCTTTAACTATTCTTTTGGACAACTGTCCAACAATGATGAGTGTCTATCTGAAGCAGTGCAAAATTTCTAATAGATATATATAGAAATAAAACTGTGATGCCAAGGCTGATCAGAGGATCATGTGACTTTTTAAATGCCTTTTTAATCAGGCTTGGCTTCTGCAACTCTGATATTCTGGCCTCAAATAGAAACAATTAATAAATATAAAGTAATGGTGCCTGATGCTGGTATGACTTATGAGATATAGAGCCATCTTTATTGCTGATCCCATCAGCGTGACTGTCACAGATGCCAAGTTAGACTTTGCAAAAATTTATCCAAGTCCAGTTTATTGTTGGTATGGATAGTTGACCAAAGCCTCTGATAAGCAACTATTTTCCCAAGTCACATGACTGTGGGAATTTCATTTTTTTTGGAAATTTTGATTTGGTTGAGAAGTCTTCTAAACAACTATTTGGAAAGTCATGTGACTGTGGAAATTTCCTTTTTGGGAAGTTTTAATGTAGCTAAAAGGCCCTAAATTAGCTCATTATAGCACTATATAAGTCATATTATTTGGTATTTAAGATATAAGCAAAACAATTGCCAAATTTTCATTCAAAACCACCAGAATTTTTCAAATATTTTGCATTTTGCTCATCAATGACAAAGAATATCACTATTACTCAAGTAGATTCAGGGTCATCAAAAGATGCTTTATCATTTTCTAAAAAGAAAATATTAGTCAGCAATGTTTCTATATCACTCTACAACTGTGCATAATGGACAGTTGTCTAAGAGGATAGTTGTGCACTCTGATATATAACCTTTGTTGGACAACTGTCCATTTTTTATACTTCAGAGTGGTAGCTACAGGTGGCTGAGAAACGAGAAATGATGGAGACATAATACATACAGACGGGGCAGGGAGAGGTGTCGAGGGGACGATGCAGGGAGGCAGATAGAAGGCGATGGTGGTGTGGATGCTTGAGGGCAGTGACAATGATCGATGGCGGTGACGATGCTCGATGTCATTGATGAGGGCAGATGCCAGTGACAGAGACTATTTGCCTGACCTTGTCCTTCTTTCCTCTTTCCCTATCTTCTGCTTCTTCCTAGTAACCAGCACAACCTTGAGATTTGCCCCCTCCACCTTGTTGAAGCATCTGTCCATTTCTGATCTTGCTCGAATCACCGGTTCTGTTTCCTTGGATAGGGCCCTCTTCAGCCCACTTGGCCCAGCCTTCCACCTGTCATTCTTGTCTTGGATGCGGGCCTTGGCTAAATCGACGAGCTCGTGTGGCAAGATAGTGAGCTCAATGGCTTTTCCATTGTCTGTTTTGTCCAACTGCCTAACAAAATAGATTTTTTTGAATTTGATGGCAGAAAGATCCTGGCCTTTGGTTGTCGGATAGACATGATTAAACGAATTTGGTAAACGATAAAAACACAAGAGGAGATTTTAAAAAATACCTGGAGATCAATCCAAGGAAGAACCAATATTTGCACCAATTTGCCCAGTCTCTCTGGATCATCTTCAAAACCAAAAAAAATATCCCGTGATTCAGCGCCACGCTCGTTGAGCGGACTCCCCTCCTCGTCCAGAACACGTCCTGTGAAAGATTTCATGTGTTGGAGCTCCTCTTCATTGGCTGCCTCATATGGGGTCCGCTTTCTCCAGTGACTGACCCTTAAGGAGCAAAGGACCCTCTCACCGGGTTTACTGTCAACCTTGAGGTTGATAATGAGCGTGTTCATTGTTCTGAGGAATGTCCCAATTAGCCATAGGATGGCCTTATACTTTGCAGCAGCAAGTTTCTGGGTGATGGAGATCTTCCAGACAGACACTGGATGTCCCCCTCACTTTCTGGCAGCGACCCTCCCATGTTGTGGGGTGGAAGATGAGAAGAAACAGGTGTCTGCATACAGCTGTTGGTCTCCAACCACCGGAACCAAAGGGCAACCTCCAGAAAGAGCAGTGTCTGCAGCCAGCTTGTTGCAGTTCATAGAAAATTAGAGGAGACCTGCAGCGATCTCATGTGCAAGTGAGGGCATCATAATGACAATATGGTTATTGAAGTGGTTGAGACTGGCAAGATAGTCAGCATATTATATGTGATTTTCCAGAAGCTGTAGGTGGCATACCAAAGGCTAGAATAATTTGACCTGGTTTCTCCACCATGCAAGGCCTTTTTGATAGCCTGAAACTCCTCCAGAGAGGCAGGCTGCCTAAATTCTTTGCCAGGGAGCACGTGTGCTAGAAACTGGAGAATTTTGGCAAGAGTAGCTGATCGCTGTTGGACCTCTCCGGTGTCGCCAGCTGGCAACTCTGCACTGACAATGGAGGACTCTTTGGTGCTTGCAATCCCACTGGGGCTGGGTGTTGCAACAGCTGTTTGAACAGGGGTGGAGCTCCTCCTGGATGTGAACCAACTTGACAGACTGAGAAGAGAACTCTAAGTCTGGCTTTCTTGTTGAGGAATTTAAGAGAAGAGGGAGGTGAAGAGTGCCAGCTAGGCAGAAGGGGCAAAGGATCTTGAGATCCCCCTCAAGCTTGCCTGTACAAGGCGGGCACTGTGTATGATGAGGGAGTGTCAAGAGATGAGGGATAGTTGACAGGAGAGTGCATGAGGGGGACCTTGTGGGCGTTGGAAGCAAGAGGTAAAGTGATTATTAATAGATATGGAATGTTGTAGAACGTTTGCAGATATGGCACCAATGTCCGCTGTTTTTCTGTCCTTGTCTGTGTTATTGAGATATAGATTAGATGTATTTATACTGTTGCAGTGGTAGGGCAGGTGGCGTGTCCCCCATGGGGTAATGACCTAATTGTACATCACTGGGGTTTGGGCCTAGCCGGCATCTTGTCCAGGCCCAGTTGTGGGGTGTGTGCCTGCCAGAGCAACTGATGCCTCGGACTCTTGCCACCCAATGTTACTTTTGCAGTTTGTTCTGGAGCAAGCCATCGCAATATCAAGGTGTGCACCGGTGCAGTGGCATCTGTGGTGAACATGATGCTGCCATCATTGCCACAATGTTAATTGGAGCACTTAATGTGTTTAAGATGCCATTGCCAGTCGATTTGTCCACACTATTGAGGTTACTAGCAAACAGATTGTGTCGGGTCGCTCAGCTGGCTGTGGCTTGTTAAGTGTGGACAGGTAGGAGAACATGCAAGGCAACAGTGTGCCAAAGATGAGCAACTCGGGATAAAGGACTGAGGAGATATGAGGCTCTGAAGTCCAGAGTGAGAAACTAGTCATATTGGGTAATACAGGATAAACTACTTGCCTGAAGTCTGGAGTGAGAAACTGGGGACTTTAGGCATCTGACAGCAGTTATATATATACTAAAGAACAAAGGGAAACCCAAATGGAGACTGGGAACAATAAGAATGATGAAGGTAACCAAGTGGATCTGGGATCTGATCTGTGATCAGATGCAGATCCAGAGATCAGATGTATCTAGATAAGATGAAATAGAATGAAGATAGATCTAGACCACTTTGGGATGAGTCAGGTGATGTTACCTGATCATGTGAGGACACAGTCATGTGCAGTCATGTGGTCCAACCCCATATAGAAGTTGAGACATGTCATGGAAGTTTTAACATGGCTTATGTTACAGCCAGTGCTGTCAGTGATACATATGAAGCCAGGCAGTTGCCCAAAACTGACGATGCATCAGGAAGGGCAGTTCCCCAGCCCTATAAAACAGAGGCAATTGCCCTATAAAAATAACATAGAGGGGTGTTATGGACTGTGATATGTGACAGATGCCAAGTAGATCAACAAGTCATGTGACTTTCAACTTGCCTTTTTCTTCATGCTTGGCCTCTGAAACTTTGATATTCTGGCCTCAAATGCAAACAAATAGTAAATATATGACTGCCATGCCCAGCATTGGTGTGATGCAAATGCAATAAGTTCATCAAAGGTGCTGATGGGATCACAGAGTCACATATTGTGAGTTGGACTTTGGCAAAAATTTGTTAAAGTCTCTTTATATCAAGCATTAGACAATTGCTAGAGGCTATTGATATGTCTTCAAATAACAGGTCACATGACTATAGGAATCAACTTTGTTTTGCATTTTTCTCAACAATCACTAATGCTGCTGATGTTGTTCAAGTACTTTTAGGATCACCTGATCATGATCTATGATCCTGCACAAAAAAAAATTCAAACCACTGATGGTTTGAAATTCTTTTGCGTTTTTCTCAACAATGACTAATGCTGATGATGTCATTCAAGTACCATCAGGATCACCTCAACATGATCTACAATCCTGCACAAAAAAATTTCCAAAAAGGAAATTAGGCAATTGCCCAAGCTGTCACACCTAGAGCAAAACAGGCCTATAATGCCAGTGTTTTAAGGCCTGGAGAACTGCCCTCCCTGATGCATTGTCAGTTTTGGACAACTGCCAATAATCGATATATTAGCTGACAGCAACAGATGTATGTTAGATGCTGGTGCATAGCGGATGCGATCAAATGGACATCTCCATCATGGAATGTCAGCTAAAAACTGGCTTGAAGGGTCAGAGCAGTATTATGCACCAGGTTTGCCCAACGCATGTCCTCAGACAATGGTAGCACTTGGGTTCAAGTACTGCGTATTCTACGATGGACTGACACCATAGTTAGGCTCCAGATGCCTGTTCAGAGAGACCCAATGGTGGAATTGATCTCAACACCACCATCATAGCTGTCATAAGTCACTTGCCCCTAACTTGGGTGCATGCATATCATCATACTCCGAGGTGCAAGCTCTGTGATCTGAGAATGGGCATCAACCTTTGCAATGGTGATGGCAGAAACACTAAGCACCAGCAAGCGCATAACTGCACTTCTGGGTTTCGATTGGCATCGACTTTGTGGTAGAGAGTGGACAGCCATGCTGTGCCTCCACATTGCAGGCGTCTGCCTCCCTCATGCTTGGCATCTTCCTCAAGTCAGGTGATTTTATGTTGCTGATTATTCATTGGTTGTTTCATCTGCTTTAATCTGTCCTCCACTATGGATCCATCAGGGAAGTACGACTGGCAGCGCACAGAGCAACTTTCCATCCTCAAGGCGAACTACCTTAGTGCAAGGCTGTGAACTGCCATTGCTACTTTGGTGAAAACCCATTGTGACAATCATGACATGCCTGATGTGTCTGACTTCATTGAAACGGAACTCATGTGTTGTATCAGATTGCATCTAGACCATGGCTGCTCTGACCAATTTAGAGAATGAATTTGCTGCATTTTGGATGGGCAGTGCTCATGGGTTTCAATGTGTGCCAGCCGGCATTTCTGCAGGACCTCTTGGTCTCCTTCTGGCCACCCAACTGGCCAGTATCTGAAAAATACATGGCCATTGATCATGCAATAGCCAACCTGTATGTGGATTTTGATCCCCTCATTGATGAGCCCTGTGTAGATGAGGTAGACCAAGCTGGGACCTACCATTGGTGGACTGGAGAGGGCTCGGCACCCACCTGCACTGCCATTGACATCCACTTCCAGGAATGGGTGACGGATGTAAGTAAATTTCTGTGATGCCACCTGGATTATTTATGACAGGGCACAGTACATCGACGCTGGGCGCTACCTCCCCACAGGTTTCATTTCCGACCCCACCAACCTCCCCATGCTGCAGCATCTGGCACTTCCTTTGGAGGTGCTGTGTCTGTGTTTGCTGGCTCAGGCAACCAGCAGTGGCAAACCCATCGCCACCCACCCTCTGGTCCTTCCAGAGGCTAGTCGCACAGCAGCTCCTCCAATTGGACCTCACAACGCTTTGTCTGAGGGCACTGTTGCTCTCATACAAAGTTGAAGAACCTCCTGTACTTGTACCCACACCTGCAGCTGGTCAGATCCCCTCTCTCCTCTTCACATGTCCACCAATATCTGCTAGCTGAAATGTTTAAAACTGGGAAACTCCCCAGAATGCTGGATGCATCAGGGTGGGGAGTTGCCCATCCATGGACCCCAGACCACCCTCTGCTGCTGGAGAGGGCTAGGAATGACTGTTTCAGTGACAGAAAAGGCTTGGGAGGGGTTTGATGAGGCCCGGGGACTGTTCTGCATCCTTTCTGGGACAATCTGGTATGGGGGAGGAGGTGAATTGGCCTGTATGAGGTGCCACATTACCTTGGCAGTGCACTTTTTTTAGATCCATAGCTATTTTTAATTTGACAGCTCATGACATCAGAGAATGATGTCACTGATGTGATCCATCAATTCTTGATGTCCTCGCCTCAGAGAATCTGCCTTCTGGCTGTGGCTGTGCTCATTCCCAATGCAGACATAGAGGGATCAAAATAGGCTCTGCTGGCCTCATCCATGGCTTATTTTGTTACACCACACCTCTTAATGGATGAAACAATTATGCGATGATATTATACATAATTTTAGCTTTCTGTAGACACCAAGAACATCAGGATAGACCTATTTTTGGTAAAGATACGGTGCAAACAGTGGTTTATACACCAAAATTGTGAAAATGTGCACCAAATGTGCCCCCTCTCATGCCCCCCTAACTCAAATAACCTATGTGATAATTTAGGGTAGTGTATATTTCATTGACCTCCAGGATCGGAGGTATTGCCACATGTAAGGTCATGATAAATGACGATAAATGTATAGAAACAAAACGAGGTACTTGCAAGAGCAAGGGGATGATTATGTGTAAAGTTATTAAGAGAAGAAGGAGGAGGTAGTCCCCCACATCAGTATCTATATACTTACCAAATCCACATATCGCACCCATTTGATACGAAAATAATTAAAATGACTACCTCGGACTTGTTCAAAAATTACCAAACTTTGTATATAAGTATTGAAGCCCTCACATGCCTCTGACAGAACAAGTTTGTCTTTTTTTTTTTACAAACAAGCACCCAACCTCCTAGACTGGGATTGTGATGCAATTTTTATCAACTCATAGAAGTACCTCTACAGGAGTGTTCAATGGCATGTCTTAGTCACCAAAGAATGCAGAGAGTGGCTAGAAGAGCTGATGGTTTTCTTGTCTAACTGCATCCCATTCATGCTTTCTAGCTGTTTGGGTGGTAGAAACATATTTGGACTCAAGGAGTGCAAATAGTTAATAGGAAAACACAAATAGTTCAAGACAAAACATGCCATGTACATTGAAGTGCTGTTGAACATAATAAGGTTGGAAAAAGATAAAAAGTTTAGTGCTGGAGTTGTATATGGACTATTTACAAACCCTACAGTCTGGTTTGATTATGGGTTCTATTATGTGGGGCTGATATGGCTCATAGATGTGAGGTTCTGATAGAGAAAGGAGTTAGTGAATTTAAAAAATTAAAGAGGGATTGAATGGGCCCTCCTGAACAGAGAAGTAAATTGCAGAAAAATTACTGCTTTCAGGAAATAAATATAGATTTGACACTGGCTCAAAAGAACAAGGCATAGACAGGATTAGAATAGACCAAAATTGACAGCAACAAGACAATGGGCAGGTGTCATCCCTTCAGTAGAATTGTCAATCATTGTCAGAGAAAGAATATAAAGACTGTTTTTTTTTTTTTTTGATCAACAATTTATATAGTGGTGCTTGATGGCAGCCTGCTCGCTATCTACAGAACATGTATGCTATGCGACCCGGTTACTAAGTCAAGTACTAAAACACATCCACCCTCCCAACCAAGACCCTTCTGGTGTATACGTCGAAACTTCCTGGAGGGCAACCCATCTCATGAAAGCGGTGCATCGGGATAAGGGGAGGAGGCCATCGAGGTCTTGCTATGCCCCATAGTTGTCGAACGCTGTTTGGGGGCCATGCAGCGCAAATGAAAATAAGAACAGCACCACCCAGGAGGTGGCAAGGTGTCTTGAGGCCGACAAGCCAAAGGTGTGCCTGCCCAAAACCAGATGCAGAAAGTTAGCAGTGCCGCAATCAGACAAACAAGGTTGACCGCCTGCACAAAGGAATTGTCATGGACGCAGGTCTCCGAACCCTAGAGTTTGAGGATGTCAATTCACTGATAAATCCTCCAAAAGGAAGAATAACCCCACCCAAAGTGATCATCTGACACCCAAGGAGTCCCAGTTGAAGCCAAATACTGTGGGGTTGTGCTTCAAAAATGATGCAATATCCCCGTTTTCTTGGGGATAGTGTACAGAGTATCGATCGCAGCAGCGAAAGAGAACGTGCTGATGGGACTGCAGAGCAGCCCCGCAAGTGCAACCATGAGGCTCATTGATCTTGAAGCGACAGTAATACGCTCCAATGGGTGTGTGGCCAGTTATACACCAGCAAACACGAGCAAACTCAGTGATACTGTGTCCGAAGTATGAAAGCCAAGGTCCCCTGTTGAGGTACGATGGCTGAATCGGCCGCCCATCAGGCCGTTGAAGCTCCAAAAACTCAGAGCCTCGGTAGGTTGGATCCTGGAAAGTGGAACTCCACGAATCCAGGACTGAGTGCGCAGCTCGAGAGCAAAGCCCATCTATGGAGTTGTCCATTTTGCGATGTCCAACCCTGACTTTAAGTTTGGTAACTTACTTGTGTGCCTCACCATGAATGTCCCACTGCAAAGCAGATGGAATGTAAACAAAGGTGATGCAGCAGACATCATCCGCCTCGAACCACCCTCAGAGAGCGTGACAGACTGACAGACTAAAAGCCTGACCAGAATGTATGGAGGGGTCAACTGCTTTATGGGCTGAGCCCATAGAGTCAGTAAAGACCATAATATGTTGGCAGTTTTCCTGCTTGACAGCAAGGCAAACTGCGCACACAATGGCATTAAGTTCCACATCTGGAGCAGTAACCCTGCCAGAGACATAGCAAGTCCTTTTGAGCTCACGATGTCCCTTGTAGATGATAGCAGCCACTGGTTAGACTGAGGGACAGAGCCGTCAGCTGCAGCCAGTACTGTTAAGGGGTCAGCCCTCGCAACTGTGATTAGCTCGTCAAGATATGGGTGCCTATCCTGAATAGGATCACACATGTCAAAGCAGAGACGGTCTGCATAGCGGTCCAGTAACTGGTCACCAGGGCAAGCTTCGGGCACAAAGGGCTCAAAGCTCTCAGTTAGGGTGTGGACACGTTTGTCCACTTCCATGACAGTGCTCTTGACTTTCCCTCGCATGGCTGGGGTCATCAAGGCGGCAGAGCGGGTGTGAGGTTTGGCCTGTTTGAGAAGTCTCTCACCCATCATAGAGCGAAGAGGGTAGCAACGCGATACACTGCGCGTGTCACCAGCTTCTTCAGCATGAGATGGATGGGGATGAGACCTGCCAAGGCCTCAAGACCGCCTGTGGGTGAGGTGCGGAATGCACCAGTAATCCATAGAGCAGCTTTTTGCTGCATTCGTTTGAGCTGGTTCATGGCGCCTTTGTTGCGGGCGCCATCAAAGTACCAGAGACAGTAACTGTATGTGGCAATGGGGACCATGCAAGACCTATAAAGGAGGTGCCGCTGTTTAGGTGAGAGACCTCTGGTAGAGTTTCCAAGCATGCGCATGGCCTGCACGGTGGTGAATGCCTTGGTGGCATAATAGCGGACATGCTCATGGAAAGTGAGCCTGCGGTCAAAGTAGAATCCCAGATATCTCCAATAGGTCTTGGGCTTTAATGGTGTAGCACCTGTGTGTGGGGCGTACCCCAGATCAAGTGAAGGATTGTAGGCATCTCATTGACACGAAAAGTGAAACAACTTGGTCTTGTCATGTTCAAGGACGAGTGCGAAAGCAACAAATAAAAGGTAGATAATTTTATAGGCCTTACGCAGGCCCACATTATTATCATCAAGTTGTTTGGACTGGGCCAGGATGGTCCCATCGTCCACAAAGGAGAGAAGTGTCATGTTGAGTGGCGCCGCTTTGATATAGAAGAGCTTCATCACTGGAGCAATGAACAACCCAGAGATAACAGGCGAGAGAGCAGAGCCCTGCCCAACACCCACATCCGCAGACCATGAGTCAGATTGGAAGGTGTTCCAGCAGTAAACTGTGGAATGGCCAACAAGGTACGATGCAAAGAAATCCACCAATACTGGCGAGAACCCCTACTTGCGCAGAACAGCCATGAACATTTCATGGTTGATAGAAGGAAAGAACTGTGCAATGTCAAAAGCCAGCGCGCTAGTCTGGAGACCCTTAACCCATCCTGCTCACACAAGATGAGTCAGAATCAATCCAGCATCCTCAGTTGACTGTTGGCGGATACCGCCAAGCTGGTTTGGGTGAAAGATATCATGTTTGACAGCGTCGAACTGTATTCTATTGGCAACATAAAGACCAGTGCCCCCTAGACCCTCACACCATCCTCCTACTATGTCTGTAAATATGTCCCTAATGGTATAGGACATTGAAGAGCATATGATAGTGGTGGATATTGGATCTCAGAATGGTGCTGAGAGTTTCTGATTGGAATGTGCTTGATGTGGAACAATAAAAATGGGCAGAGGAGATTGAATCCAAGATAATGGAGATAGAGAAACTTTGCAAAGGTCTATCTAGATACAAGAAATGAAAGAGAAGATCTGACAAATTTATAGAGACTGAATAGTGCATCAGAATGAGGGCAATGAGATATTCCAAGTGGTGTGAGGCTCTTCAGATTGCAGTCAACACCATCATCAAAAGAGATTGAAGAATTGAGTGGTGGAAATGCAGCTATAACAAGAGTAGAGATAGAAGACTTGTTTATTGAGGTGATGGGTCCTATACCTCAAGAGGTGTGCTTCGCAATAGGCACAAAGAAGGAGGATGGTCCAGGTCTGTTAATGACATGAAAATGGAAGCAATTGTAGTTGAAGCCAAGAAGCTTTTTGATGACATATAAATAGAAATGCCTAACAAGAGCAATGGTCTCTAAAATTGAATCAAATAGTTCCTCAAAATGATGCCAACTGACTACACCTCAACCAGAGCATCCAATATAGTGATGTCCTCCATGCAAGAAGAAGAAACAGACCCATTCATCAAGAACAACAAGGTATAGGTGTTGTAACAGGACAGGCATTGGCTTATCCACTGCTTAGACAAACTATAAAAGAGAGCTCATAACTGGCACACATGACCAGAGCACCTGTACAGAAGTTCAGTTGAGTTGAGCATAGATAGTATGAGATCTGTTTGACAATTCAGAATACTGATGAGAAGGTTCAAGAATTGACAGAAGGCAGATATGCAGGCCAGAAGAGAAGGATAGTTGAGGGTGGGGCCAGGTCAGTCATGGAGGGGCACTTGCTAGACAGAGATGCAACATTGTCATTGATGAAAATGAGAAGAACAAGGTTGAACAACTTGAGGAGTGACTTCTAGAGGAGATGTGAATGAGGTTCAGAGGTGTATTTGCACCCTTCTATATTCAACTTTCAAGGACATTCACAACATACAGGATTAAAGGCAATACTCAACACCCAAACAGCAGCTTGGGGTTAAGAAGTATCAGGCAAAACTGTTTTTTGCCAGATTATAGAGACAAGCAGATGGGATTCAATGCCTCAGAGAGGTAGAGGGTGCTCTAGAGGATTTGTGTATCTAAAATGATAAGTCAATATCATTTCATTTAAAAAACTAGCATACATACCTTCAGAAGCATGTCTGTGCAAAAGATAACAATTGCCAAAGTGGAGAAGCAATGATAAGAGTTATTAAAAATATTCCTGATCACACTGTTGACAAAAATAACAATACTTATGCTCCAAAAGTTAAGGGCCCAGAGCTAGGCTGCTGCCTCTTTTGGTGCTGATGACCTCACTATGTCTCAGCAGCTTGGCCATCAGCTTGATCAGCCTTATGTCAGGCATGACCATCACAGATCATGACAGCATGCACATGTCTTGGGCACTTCTGTGGTTTTTGACATCTGAGCAGCAGGCATTCGAGCTCTGACAGATGCTTGTGATGGCTTCTCATGGCTCACGTTTTGGACTTGTGTGCTCCTACATGCTTGCTAGGGCCATGCACACTATCATCTCTTATCTACAGTTGTCATACATCTGCCCTCCCTTATTGTAAATAGCTAAATACATGAAATATGATGTGCTCTACATGAAACTGGCCCTCTGGGCCAACTTTTAGATCCCATTGACCAAATTTAAGGGTTCTGAGGTTAAATTTAAGAGATAAGTGGAGATAAGTGTGCAGAAAAGTAGATTTAAGATCAATTTTAAATATTTGGAGGAGCCAGCTCAGTGCTTATGCAGGAGTTCCCACTAAATTCTTGTTTAGTTCATGAGCCAGCTCACTTGTTCAGGCTGTCCCATCACCATCACATAGCCTGTGGACTTGCCATCTGCATGTCCATGGGCTTGTTTTTGAGCTCTCCACACTCCTGAACCACAATTTTTCTTCCTGTGGAAGCCATATCCAAAATCTTGATATATTTTACCTACATGTAGATAATTTATTGTGTGTCAGTGACACTGTTCACAAACGACTTTGAGAGAATGATGCCGCTGCCAATCCAGCTGTCAATAACCCATTGTTGATGTCTTTTCTTCTGCTGTTGCTTACCTGCTGTCATGCTCTCAGGCTCATGCTCAGCATGATCTCAAATTTAAGCAATTTAGCAGTTGTGCTTGAATTTGAGCAATAAACCAGACTTTTCTCTCCTTCTGGACTATGAAGTTGAATGAATTACATTGAGATTGAATAAAGTTGAATAAAGTTACATGGCATTCTAATCATGGCAGATGAAGGGTTTAAATGAAGTTTAATGAAGTTGAACAGAGCAAGAATATTCTTCAAGTGTCTAAGTCCACACTATTGAATGAAGTTGAATAAGGTTTAACAAGCTTTAATATGGTTTAATGAGAAAGATTTAGTGAGATTTAGCAAGATTAAATAAGCTTGAATGAAGTTTAGTGAACTTTAATGAGATTTAATAAGCTTTAATGAACTTTAACAAGATTTAATGAAATGTGGTCAGCATCATCAATGATAGAGGAGGACAGAATAGAGGAGATAGGGAGTGACAAGATGGAGTGGCTTATCTGCAGGGTGTTGTTAGTTGTAGAAGCAGCACCTGTATTAACTATAAAAATATAGGTAGTTTTCTAACTTTAAGTCTACATCTGGCATATAACAAGATGTTTAATAATAATTTCTTTTTGGAAAAAAAGTATGTGAGCTTATAGAGCACCTTGTCATGACCCTGAATTAAGTTGTTTGATGCCATCAGCTGCTATGATTGGCAAGAAAAATGTGAATTACCAAAAAAAAAAATAGGTTACTTTTTGCAAAATTTGGCATTATTTAGCTTATATCTTGCTGTTGATGGCACTAAACAGGTCATGCTGATAGTGGCAGAGTCACTTAGGCCTAGGATTTTAATTTCAAGTATTTCTTTCTGAAAATATTTTTTTCTCACAGTCATTTGACCAGCCAATTTCGCATTTCTGGCATCTCTAGTCTCTGTCTAGATATAGCAGAAGAGGACTTGAGCAAATTTTTACAAAGTCCAACTTGTTACATATGACTTTGATGTTGATAGCATCAGCAAACTTGATGGCTTTATTGCTTTTCATCAATGCCAAGTCTAGGCCTGGCTATTATGTATTTATTAATTGTTTCCTTTTGAGGCCATAATATCAAAGTTTCAGAGGCTGACTCTAAGAAAAAAGGCAAGTAAAAAAGACATATGACTTGCTATCAGTCTTGGCATCAGTCACATTTCAGATACTGGGCACTCAGTAACCCCTCTGTAGTAATAGAAGAGCCATTTCAAAATAGAAGAACTTTAACCAACTTTAATCAACTTCAATGTAGTATAATAAATGAATTAAAGCTTGTTTTACTTTATTAAACTTTATTAAAGTTGAAAATAATCAAATTTCTTCAGATTTCCATGTTTCTCACTATAGGTATTGGCAATTTATTCAACTTCATTTAACTTCAATAAAGTATATTATAGTTCTTAATCTAGAGGGAGAGGAAAGTCCTCCAAAATAGGAGACCCTGGTTACATTGTTGAAGAAAGCTATAGTGTACACCAGAGAGGAAAGTATCATAGAAGAATGAGTCACATAACTTGTTTGAGTGGGCCATTGCTATGCATGGCATGTATGAGGCCTTCTCTAAAATATAATCAATGTTGATATAGATGAATTTTTCTGACAGATCAGCAAATCTCTTAAAAATGGCAAATTTAAGCTAAAACACTTAAAAGAGCAGAAATTATACCTTCTGACAGGTTTTTGAAGAAAGAATAATTGAGAAGAATCATATTTGAGTCTTAAATGTTAGATGTCTAAAAGTGACCACATCAGGGATTGAACCTGGGACCTCCTGATTTCCATGCACAAGTGCTCTAACCACTGAGCTATATGGTCTATGTTCAATATGAGTTGGATATTGGTTATATACTCAAGGATGAACATGACTACTCTGCTATTCTGGTGCACTGCATGGGCTGGCACTAGGCTTTACTCGAGTAGTTCAGAGGTTCTTACCATGTTAGTATGACTTGACATGTCACCATCTAACATTAAAACATGTAGAAGATAGTAAAACAACAACTCACTAGCCAGATTAGCTTGATTTTAATAAGGATCTACAGTGTTTGTGATTTTCTGAAGCATCCAGAACTCTAGTAGAGCATTGGATGCTGTTACAAGATAGAGAAGAGCAGCCTGAAGCCATAGCAAAAAGAACCAGATTGATAGCTGCATTAGTTGTAGAGGAAAGAGGAAAACAAGATTGGGAGAAAGTGATGAGCGGTAATTCTTTAGAAATATATACCAAATCTGTATCTGAGTAGAATAACTTGAAATTAGGGTTATTTTTAAATTTAGACATTTGTATTCTAGCAGTTTAAGACTGGCTGTCTCTGATGCTAAATAAACAGAGTAATCTAATCTTATCTGGCCATAGAAAGGAGTCTGGAGTCTGAGCATGTGACTGTAGAAATAAACTGCTATATAAGGTATAAAAAAAAATAATAGAGAATGTCTTGGCAAGTCTAGATGTGGTCTCATCATATGACTAGCTTATTTTCTCATTGAGAATAAAAAAACAAAAAAAAAATTTTTTTGTCAAATTTTGACAGTAAATTATAAATATCCCCATGAGAAATGAAGCTAATCACATAATCTAAAAAGATTCAGAAAGCCCCAAAGAATCTCTACCTTTTTGATCTAAGTTGCCTTTTTGGAAAGGGTTTTGCCATAGTCTTGATGAGTGAATGAATGAAAAATCTGTATAAGTCCTGGATTGATAAAGAATAAGGCCTCATAACAAGATTTTTTAATAAAAAGGAGTACAGAAGTTATTGAGAAGAAGGAATTTGCAGAAGAAAAATTAAATATGAGTGAGAATAAAATTTAGTGCCTGCTGATGATGATTTTCAATGAGATAGTGAACACGATCCAAGACATCATAAAAGGCCACCAGTTGTTCACTTTCTGTCTGGAACCTTAAAATATAAAAGGAAACCAGAATTCTGGACACTGTGCCCTCACTTGGTCAGCCTCCTATTTTGGCTTGATAGCAGACATGGACTTCGAAATTTCTGAACAAGGTAAATCTGTTGCTCTATGAACTTAAAGCTTGAATGTTGAACAGTAAAATCATTATTTAATTATCATCTGTATGGCCATGGCCATGGCCATACTACAGGATATACTAACACTTGAGTAACTAGACATATGTAAGCCAGATATAACCAAGCTATTACCTGCTTGTCCCACTGCACCATCCTGCTCACTGGCACATAGACTGGTACTCTGCATTGCCTGCTCTTTCTAATGCTGATACCGTGCCCCTCATACCCACCACTGCTCAGCATTCATTGCCTGGTTGCCCTGCTCACTCAGTATATGTTGGGGCTCTGCTCTGCCTGTTCTCACTTGTGCCATCTGCTTGCTCTGGTGCTGGTGTTGGTGCCTCCACTCCACTTGCTCATGCTGGCACCTTTACACCATTGGCCATGTCTTTGCCCCACCCTCTGTCATGCCCTCTTCATGTCTCCACTGCCTCTTGTGCCTCTTCCTGCCAGTATGAGCAAGGGTGGCCAAAGCCAATGGCAATGATGGCAGCAAGATCAGGCAAGAGTAGGAGAGCTGGTGGTGAGCAACAACGAGATGGCAAAGCATGAGACAACACAATGGCAAAGTGTGAGAAAATGCAATAGTGACAGCGAGATGGTGAGAAGAGAGAGTGATAACGAGATGGCAAGATGGCGACGCAAGAGCAAGGGCATGAGAGGAAGAGGGCAAGGGCAAGGGCAAGGGCAAGATGGCGACAGGTGATGACAAGACAGCAACTGGCAAGATGACAAGACAGTGAGGATAAGATGGCCAAGTGTGAGCTGGCAATGACAAGATGATGGCAAGAATGAGAGGGGAGACAGGAAAGAGTGTGTGAATTGGGAACTACAGCAGGAGACCAAATAACAAATACCTGCTGTAGCAGACATTTCAGAATTTCTATTTCTATTTATATTTTAAAGTTCAGGGCAGAATCTCAAAGCTGAAGGCCACCCTCTACTCTGAGCATGTAGACACTTGTTTAGAGAGTTTCTTATCAAGGAACTCTCTCAGGCTGATGAACTATTGTTCTGCATCTAGCATCCAAAAGCCCTGGTCAAAACAAGAACTGAGCCAAACATCAGATATAGGCCACTATAAGGAGAGTTCAGTGGAGTCCTGATAGACATAGTGGACACTACAAATGATAGCAATGTCAATATCACTTAGTTGCATGTCAAAGAGCCCAAATGCTCCAAGTCTTGCTATTGTGCGGTTGATGTCTTGCAATGAGCCTTTATTGATGACACAGGAGTAGATCATTTCCAATGTGAGACATACAATAACACTACCAGCCTTGATAGCTACATGACATCTAGGGCCACAGAAGAATTCTGTCTGTGAACAGATATAATATGAGTAGTGGAATGCCTGGAAGAACAGAAGGAGTGCACATAGTGCAATATTTGAATGGGAGCTGAATGGCATATGTAGCACAAGGCTAAAGCAGGTGTTAAAGATGTAAAAAGTGACCAGACAGAGAATTGAACTCAGGACTATCTGAATATATACTAGCAGCTCTAACTACTGAGCTATCTGGCCATTGGGAATACTAAACTGGGATGTAATGACTACACAACCAATAACTGCACCAAGGCTATACTGACCCATTCTGGTCTTCCAAATGACTTGCAGTGCCAGCACATAATACCCCTAACTTGGGGTCAACTAAAGTGGTCAGATTACACCCAGTTTAACAGAAGACACCCACTTTTACCAATGCACAGATTATGTCCTGAATTTTGCTGCAAATGAGAAGGACCACACAATGGATAAAGAGCATGATACAAAGGTCATATACTACAAGATTGAGATGTTGGGAGATATTTGTCTGCACTTGATAAGAATAAAGGTGATTTGTCTGTTCAGTTGTGCACATGAGACAAAGCAAAATTTTGAGCAGAGGGATGAGCCTATATAGGCAACATGCACTGTATCTGTATCTTAAGGTCCACTGACTGGATGGCTATTAGCCAGTTGACTATAGACAGAGAGAATTTCAATAGCTGTATTGAGACAATAATCTCAGGGCTTATGAGGGCCGGATTGGGGAAAATTTCCCTGGTGATTTTAGACAGAGGAATTTGTATTTTATACATCATGAAGTCAAAATTAGGATACATGCAGAGGCCATTTTATATGCACACACAGCAATTTTATACATGTGCATGGAGATTCTTAAACACACATACGACAATTCTATATACACATATGGCAATTCTATATACACATACGTCAATTTTATACACACACATGAGGATTTTATATACACACACAATGGTTTTATACACACACAGGGTGATTTTATATACATGCACAGCAATTTTATATACATGCCAGTTTTACATACACACACCGACTTTTGATACACACACTTGGCTATTGGCATCTCTCCTGCCAAGCAGAGCTCCAACCCTCCTGACAGACCTTGGCAAATATTTGGTGCCCCAGAACACCAAAATTGCTCCTATGGGTCTGCTGGGGCAGGATGGGCTTGGTTGATGCCCTTGCAGGTGCCTGTGATGCGCTTTTCCACACATCTGATGCACACCAATTTTGGTTCTGCTACCAGTAATGCTGGCATATTTTGGCCAATTCTGGACCAAATTTCTTGGAATAAAAAAGATGATAAATCATAGAATATTAGTAGCTCTCAGTAGATGCCTTTTTCATGGCATATTTCTCACATTTGGCAGCTCCAGGGCCAAATTGGTGTACCCCACCTCAATAAAATGTGAATGCAGCCTCACAGACCTTCCTGCAAGGAAGAATGTGTGATCATGCAGTAGGATTATGTAACTGGCTGATAGATAAAAAGAAATGAGGCTGCATTCACATTTTATTGAGGTGGGGTACACCAATTTGGCCCTGGAGCTGCCAAATGTGAGAAATATGCCATGAAAAAGGCATCTACTGAGAGCTACTAATATTCTATGATTTATCATCTTTTTTATTCCAAGAAATTTGGTCCAGAATTGGCCAAAATATGCCAGCATTACTGGTAGCAGAACCAAAATTGGTGTGGATCAGATGTGTGGAAAAGCGCATCACAGGCACCTGCAAGGGCATCAACCAAGCCCATCCTGCCCCAGCAGACCCATAGGAGCAATTTTGGTGTTCTGGGGCACCAAATATTTGCCAAGGTCTGTCAGGAGGGTTGGAGCTCTGCTTGGCAGGAGAGATGCCAATAGCCAAGTGTGTGTATCAAAAGTCGGTGTGTGTATGTAAAACTGGCATGTATATAAAATTGCTGTGCATGTATATAAAATCACCCTGTGTATGTATAAAACCATTGTGTGTGTATATAAAATCCTCATGTGTGTGTATAAAATTGACGTATGTGTATATAGAATTGCCATATGTGTATATAGAATTGTCGTATGTGTGTTTAAGAATCTCCATGCACATGTATAAAATTGCTGTGTGTGCATATAAAATGGCCTCTGCATGTATCCTAATTTTGACTTCATGATGTATAAAATACAAATTCCTCTGTCTAAAATCACCAGGGAAATTTTCCCCAATCCGGCCCTCATACAGGGCTGGCCAACATCCATGACCTGGACAGCAGCAGCCACACCTAAAGCAGAGTATGAACAGACAGACAGAGTGGAGATATGGAGATCCAAATAGTCTATGAAGCCATATAGAAGAGGTATACAAGATGAAGGAGTTGTGGATAGATGAAAGAGCCAGAAGAGAAGAGAACACTGCAGCCATATGAGTCAGTGAAGATATTGTTAGTCCTAAATGAAATCAGCAAGTGGATGCAGGAGAATGCAGGAGAATACACAAAGAGAATGTACTGCATAATAATAATAATAGACAGACAAATGGATGAATGACAGAGATTGACCTGAAGCATTTATAGAAGGATGAGAAGACAGAGAGCAAGAGAACGTAGAATTACAGTAGATCCTATATAGTGATATATAGAACAATCTGTAATCAGAATTTGATGTTGGAAGGCAAGCTATAGAAGAGTCTACAATTACAGATTTATGAGGTACATGGGCCTATCAAGAAGTCAAGATGCTCAAATGAAGGAAATTTGTGCACATAGTATCATACTGGAAATCCACTTTGTAAGTAGAATTCAAACTTTGTTTCTTCTACTTATTCTGGCTACAAGATAAACCTTCTCAGCTCAACTCATCCTGGCAAAAAAGAAATGAAAGTTTGTTAAGCTGGATCTAGCAGGCTGTATTACTGTAGTGTCAATAGTCAAATGCTGTGCAGGTAGGATACTAGGAGTCCTGTGGAGCAGTTGCTTTTATTTACATTAATGGAGGATCAAAAAGTCCAGAAATGAACTTATATTTTGGTCCACCTGTGGAGTACTGACTACATATCAAGTCTTCTATGATGGGGGTCAATGTGGAGGTCTTTACACTTCCCCATGTATCCCTATAGGGCTCCAGTAGACTTCAGTAGCAAATACATTAGCAGAAACACCAGCCAAAAGTGCCTACTGGACTCTGGTGGAGTTCACTAGAGTCCACTGGAGTCATCATCCAAAGTCTACTGGAGTTCACTGGAGTGTACTGGAGTGGAGTGTCTATCTTCCACTGGACTCCTAGAGAACTTCAGTGGAGTCCAGTAAACCTGAATAGAAAACTCTACAAGAGTTCTATAGGAGTTTACTGGAGTCCTACAAATTTAGAACCTATTTAGGCCATCTACTGGACTCCACTGACACTCCAGTGGAGTCCAGTGCAATTAAATATTATAATTATATATAGTATAGCATGTTTAGTATATGAATATATAGAGCTCCACTGGACTCCAGTGGACTCCAGTGGAGTATCAGTGGATGGCCTAAAAATGCTGAAATTTTTCCTGATTTATCTGTATTTATCTGTATTTTTTTAACCCCCAAAAAAAAGATTTACAAAATGACATCAGCAAGAATTAAACTAGCAACAAGCAGTAGATAATGATAATAGTACACATAGTCAACCATTGAGCTATTAAGCATTTATTCAGATATAGAAATGTAGTAAATATATATTGATAGAACAATCCAGATATAGCCAATCCTGTTTGTTTGATTTTCAAGCAGAGATTGAAATTTATTTCAGTAATCACATTCCCATCTTTAGCTCTTGATCTTGTACCACCACTATTGTCCAATACATGCAGGTAAGCCCCCATCCAACTCATGCCACCACTAATGCTGACCAGGCCCTACATCAATGCTGACAATGACAATGACAATGCTAACAATGCTGACAACAATGACAACAATGAACACAACAATGAACACAAATGCGAACAACAATGATGACAACAATGCCCTGTCACCTCTGCTGCTGACTGTGCACAGACCATCCACCAACAACAATGCTGGCATCACTGCCTTCTGCTCCTCCCAACCCTGCACCCAACACCAACGTCCACCACTAGACATGCATAGACCACCTCGTGAATATGAATGTGAATGCTGACAACCACCCCCCTCAATCCTGTATCCAATACCCCCAAATGCCCACATCCGCCCCATCACCCTGAATGCTCCTGAACACCCACATCACCCTCACCACCCCCAAACACCCCAAACACCTACATTGCTTGTGAACGTCCACATTGCCTCCAAATGCCCATAGCTGCCCCCATCGCCCCAAACACCCAGCACCTGTATCTGCTTTAAATTTATAGAAATTATAGGTAGTATCCAAAGTTAAAAGTTAAGCCCTGGAGGGCAGTTGCCTATCCGCCCATTTAGGATGCTCTTCAGACACAAGACAAAGGTTGCCAGGTGTTCAGCACCATTGATGGAGAGTGGATGATGCAAACAGATGCCAAACACAGTGCTTGGGGCCTCAGAATGGCCCCCTGCTCATTGTGGGGCCCACATCGGGCATCAGAGACATCACCGCGATGCTCTCTCATTTTTTTTGTGCCTGAATGAGGTACTTGTAGCTGTCAGGGACACCAGAAAAGGGTGGATGGGTGTTGGGGCTCTTGAATGATGTTCCAAATAGCCTACCCATCATGTTGGCTGTCCTGCACTCCTGTCATTGGTTCTCACTGTTGACAGTGCATGCTCGTTGTAGTCTGTCATGACGACCAGCAACACTGGGCACTTCTTTCTTGCACAGAAAATTTCAATAGTTTATCTTGCCCCACATAGTCTGGTCAGACTCTACTGGAGTCTGGTGGATTCCAGTGGATTCCAGTGGACTTCTGATAGAATTGACTTAATATTATATATCTGCTACTCTAGTGCTATTTTTAGAATTAATATTAGATAAGCATTAGCATTAGTATTTAAGGTTTGGCTTGTCATGCTATCTGTTAGAGGTTTGGCACTCATCTTTTCTAGTTAAGATTAGGATTAGAGTAGCAGGTATATTATTGTGCATAGAGCGCACTGTTAGCATTTTATTAGGTTAGGTAAATTAGGAATTAGCAGAATTAAAAATATTAATTTTGTTAGATGAAGTAAATGATATGTTAGAAAAATTAAAAATATTAAGTTTATAAGAGTAGGTAAATTAAAAGTTAGCAGAATTAAAATATTGATGTTATCAGGTTAGGTAAATTAGAAGTTAGCATAATTAGAAATATTGTTAGAATTTAGTGTGGTACTCATACTCTTTTAAGGATTAGTATCACATCCCATTTCTGAACCCATTGTCTCATTGTTCCATTGTTCATTGTTCTGGTTCCTCAATGGGTATTACTTTCATTGTTCCATTCATTATTGTCCTCATTGTTCTCTGTCATTGTTCTGCTGGTCATTCATTACATAACCTAGATCTCTCCATTGTTCTCAGTAGTATAAGTATCTAGGTAGTCTACTGGATTCCCCAGCTTGAATCTTAGCCTTGACATCCTCTCTGCTCTATTGTTCATTCTCTGTCTCCTGGGCCTTGGCCAGGATGACTTCTTCTTGTCTCTTCTCTGTCAAGACCAAGGCAGTTCCTGTAAATTGGGGACAACCAGATGATATGTAGGGGCACAGCACAAGAGCATGCTGAGGCAACTCTGTTCAGGTCATTACAGTTAGGTATATTGAATTTGATTCAAATATATATTTAAATATTAGATAATCTCATGTCAGAGTTAGGCACAGTGACATCTAGTCAAAATAGAACATAATCTGCAATTTAGAGAAGTTAGCAGAATTGGAAATATTAATAGGATCTGGTATAGAACTCATTCTTTTAAGGGTTAGATATATTAAATTTTATTTAAATTATATATTTAACTATCACATAATCTCATATTAGGGTTAGGCACAGTGAGATCCAGTCAGAATAAAATATGATCTGCAATTTAAAATAAATTTATGTGAATTAATTAATTATTATATAAAGTATTATTGATTATATAAACTAAATATTATCTAAAATATCAACCATTATAGACAATTTTATACTGGCACTCCAGCAGAGTCCAGTAGATTTCAGTAGATTCTACTGAATTTTAGTCAACTGGACTGGACCAGAGTCCACTGGATTTAGGTCCAAAAAAGAAAAATCAGTGATGAAAATTTCCATATATAGAAAGAAAAAGTCCCCTGGAGTCCACTAGAATCCACTAGAATCTACCAGACTCCACTGGAGTCCAATCAGATTATGTAGGAAAGGGTAAAGAACTTGAAAATGTTGCAAAAAAATGTATTAATTTTTTTTTAATCAACAATTTATATAGCAGTGCTCGATGGCAGCCCACTCACTATCTACAAACACATACGCTATGCGGCCTGGGTACTAAGTAAACTACTAAAAGACAATCGCCCCCCCAACCAAGACCCTTTGGGCTCAAACACCTAAACTCCCCAGAGGGCAACCCACCTTGCGAAAATGGTGCATCGGGATAAGAAGAGGAAACCATTGAGGTTCTGCTATGCTCCAAAGTTGTTGATCACTGTTCGGAGGCCATGCAGTGTAAATGAGATAAGAACAGCACCACCTGGGAGGTGGCAGGGTGTCTTAAGCGCCTGCCCGGAACCAGATGCAGAAAGTTAGCGGTGCTGCAACCCACTATAATAGCAGGCCACATGCGTGAAGAAATAGTTGCAGGCACAGGTCTCCGAACCCTAGAGTTTGAGGGTGTCAATTCACCAATAAATCCTCCAAAAGGAAGAATAACCCCACCCGCAGCAGTTATCCGACACCCAAGAGGTCCCAGTTGAAGCCAAATGCTGTAGGGTTGTGCTTCAAAAAGGATGCAATGTCCCCGAGAAAACGGGGATAATGTACAGAATATCTGTCATGGCAGCGAAAGAGGACATGCTGACAGGACTGCAATGCAGCCCTGCAAGTGCAGCCATGAGGCTCGTTAATCTTGAAGCGACAGTAGTATGCTCCAATAGGCGCGTGGCCAGTTATGCACCAGCAAATGTGAGCGAACTCAGTGATACTGTGTCTGAAGGTTGAAAGCCAAGGTCCCCCATTGAGGTACGATGGCTGAACCAGCTGCCTGTCAGGCCATTGAAGCTCCAAGAATTCAGAGCCTCAGTATGTACGATCCTGGAACGAGCCCCATGCATCCAGACTTGAGTGCGCAGCTCGAGAGCGAAGCCCATCTATGGAGTTGTCCATTTTGCGATGTCCAACCCTGACTTTAAGTTTGGTAACTTACTTGTGTGCCTCACCATGAATGTCCCACTGCAAAGCAGATGGAATGTAAACAAAGGTGATGCAGCAGACATCATCCGCCTCGAACCACCCTCAGAGAGCGTGACAGACTGACAGACTAAAAGCCTGACCAGAATGTATGGAGGGGTCAACTGCTTTATGGGCTGAGCCCATAGAGTCAGTAAAGACCATAATATGTTGGCAGTTTTCCTGCTTGACAGCAAGGCAAACTGCGCACACAATGGCATTAAGTTCCACATCTGGAGCAGTAACCCTGCCAGAGACATAGCAAGTCCTTTTGAGCTCACGATGTCCCTTGTAGATGATAGCAGCCGAAGTCACCTGATACTGGTTAGACTGAGGGACAGAGCCATCAGCTGCAGCCAGTACTGTGAAAGGGTCAGTCCTCGCATTTGCAATGAGCTTGTCAAGATATGGGCGCCTATCCTGGGTAGGATCATGCTCGTCAAAATGGAGACGTTCCGCATAGTGGTCCAGTAACTGATTGCCAGATTGAGCTCCAGGTGCAAAGGGCTCAAGGCTCTCAGTTAAGGTGTGGACGCACTCATCCACCTCCATGACAGTGCTCTTGACTTTCCCTCGCATAGCTGGGGTCATCAAGGCGGCAGAGCGGGTGTGAGGTTCAGCCCGCTTAAGGAGTCTCTTGCCCATCATGGAGCAAAGAGGATGAGTGTCTGAGAGGGTAGCGACATGATACACTGCACGTGTTGCCAACTTCTTCAGCATGAGGTGGACAGGGATGAGACCAGCAAGGGCCTCAAGACCGCCTGTAGGCGAGTGTTGCATCTGGTGCTTTAGGAGTTCATTTCACATATCTTTCCACCTGCTGCTTGAAATCTCATCCAGTCTTTTGCAGTCTCTTCACAGTGCTAATAGCTCCTCATATGCAAAGTTTGGTAAAATTTCAACAAGTCCAAGGTAGTCATTTTAATTATTTTTGTGTTTTTTGCACATTTTCAGCTCTTTCTTCAATACCATTTCACCCAGGCATTGGAGCCTCATCTATTGCTACTGAAATATGTAAAGGAACATTATCCTGACCTGAACACACCATTGAATGGGTGCGATATGTGGATTTAGTAAGTATATAGATAGATACTGATGTGGGGGATTACCTCCTCCTTTTTCCCTTAATAACTTTACACAGAATCATTCTCTTGCCCTTGCAAGTACCTCAATCTGTTTCTGTACATTTATTGTTATTTATCATGGTATTACATGTGCCAATATCCCCCATCTTGGATGTCAATAGAATATCTTAGCTTGTGGGAAATTGGTCAATAACCCAACTTCCAGGCAATATAATATTATGATAAAATATGTTCAATTCATGAATAAATATGCACTATTTACATACCAGATTTCAGACTTTCAGGTCTATGTATCTGCAGTGGATCTCCTGGTATACCTATACACCCCCTCGTATCTACTACACCAGACACCTCCTGGCATTATCAATGGTTCCATTACTCTCAGACATGTATTTAATGATTTTTGACTGACTTAAATGGGCCTAAACACACCCAAGGATGCATGGGTGCACTATGCATTATAGTAGCCAAAATTGCATTTGTCATATCTCCACAAGTTCTCATCCATTTCACATAATAGAAGGGTCTACAGGAAGATACCAATGTACCCAACATTTAGTTCAGCCAAAGCTAAGTGAAATAATGTGAGGGCAAGCCAGAATTATGCATAGATGTGCAGGCATCAAAATATTGCCAAATTTGGCAAAGTGCATCAAACCCCACCGTGCACACTATTCCTGGCTGTGTGCCACACCCCATAATTCATAATAAATACTCAAAATATTCCTGAAGCACCCTCCACTATAGATACAACGATCTACAAAGTTTCATGCTGAAATATGAAGTTTTCAATTTGATATTCAATTGTTTTGTATTAAAAATGCAAAAGACTCTGGATCTTTTGTGTTTTTGGCTCCCCTGCCCCATTCCGTACCCTGTGGGGGCCATGACAATTATTAGCATGCATATCTAGCCCTGCCCAACCCATTTTTAGGCCCCCACCGCACCCAGAACCCCACTCTGCCATCCTACTAGCCCCTATCATGCATGCCCCACCATTCCTGCCTGTTTTGGATGGATTTCCTATGCTTTTCCCCCCCCACAAGCCTACTCTACCCCCACCCCACCCCTGGAAGGGTTGTTTGGTCATTTATTTACCCCCTCCCACCTTCAAACAAATTCCTATAGCCCTGGCATCTCCAGCAAACTCATCCCAGCAGCCTCAGAAAACCTGACTGCTTAATCCCAGTTCTGATCTATGAGTTCATACTGGTTAAACCCAGTATTTGATACATGTATCTGGCTGATAGAAGTGATTAAGTACAATCTACGCTTTGGCAAAAATGCCACTACAAAGTACATTAATGAGAAACAAGCATCACGAACATATATCACAACACTCATTTCATACCTACCAGCCTATGCAGGTCCTTAGTTGCCCATGTGCCTATGGTTGGGCTCTGTTGACATTGTGGTGGTCATGATGCCTGCCATCTTCATGTCTATGAACCTCGTGCTCAATCCTTGGTGCTCCTCACACTGCTGCTGCTCCACATATGAGAGCAGCCATGGTGGGACTAACTATGTAGCTGAGATGTGAATTGTATGGAACACACACCTGATAGTTTACTCAGCTGAGCACCTAATGTAGAACTATACTGTTCAGCTGAGTGCTAAATAAATAGGATGGTACATTGTCCAGCTCATTCCCACCTGTATCAGCTGTAAAAATATAGAAATCCTAGGTAGTTTCCTAACTCTAAGTCTATGTCTGGAAGAGCAATATCCTATCTTCTGCTTTGAGAAGAGGGCACATAATGAGATATTTAATAATAATTTTTTTTAGGAAAAAAAGTATCTGGGTTCATAGAGTACCTTTTCATGACCCTGAACCAAGTTGTTTAATGCCATCAGCTGCTCTGGTTGGCAAGATTACTGAAAAAATGGCTTGCGTTTTGCAAATTTTAGCACTGTTTGGGTTATATCTTGTTGTTGATGGAGCCAAATAGGTTGTGCCAATGGTGGCAGAGTCATCTAGGCCCAGGGTTTCAATTTCAACCATTTTTCCAAAAAAAGGAAATTTCCCATGGTCATGTGACCTGTTATTTTCGCTTCTTGGACACTCCTGGTCCCTGTCTAGACATAGCAGAAGAGGACTTGAGCAAATTTTTGCAAAGTCCAACTTGTTACATGTGACTTTGATGTTGATAACATCAGCAAACTTGATGGCTTTATTGCTTTTCATTAATGCCAAGTCTGGGTCTGGAAATTATGTATTTATTAATTGTTTCTATTTGAGGCCATAATATTAAAGTTTCAGAGGCTGGCCCTGAAGGAAAAGGCAAATAAAAAGTCATATGACCTGCCATCAGTCTTGGCATCAGTCACATCTCACATGCTAGGAACTCAGTAACCCCTCCATAGTAACAGGAGAGCCTTCTCAAAATAGAAGATAGAATATTGCCCTTCCAGACATAGACTTAGAGTTAGGAAACTACCAAGGATTCTAAAAAATTCTAGCTTATATGGCTGCTTATTCCATGTCTGTCTTAGAAGTAAGAACCCATGAAGGGCTGCAAAAAAAGGCGGTGACTACTCTGGTGGGCAGCAGAGTTTTTTTGGTAGGTGCCAGCAGTCAAGAAGGGGATAGAATCTACTTTGCCTTCCTGAAGCCTGCTATCTTCAGTTCTGACTCCCTCATTGACATTATTCAATGGATGCATGAGATTACCTCAATGTCAGCCAGGATATGAGGCTCCATTCAAGGTCTGGCTGTTCCTTCTTTCTTCTGACCACATCGGACAACGCTGCCATGGACCCTGCTGCACTGCTTGTGAAATATCGCAGAGACAAGTTTGCAGCTGAAATTGCCCTTCAAGATGGAAATGTTGATTTTCCAGCTGAATGGAGGTTGGAATTCCTGGAGGACTGCAACCGAATTATGCAGCAATTAGTTGCAGCTTAATGCAACAAGAGTAGGCCACATGAGCAAAGATATTGCAATTTACTGAAAGGCCCAATATTCAGAATATCTTGACTGGTCTATTGCTGACTATTCACACTTTCTGGAAGTCCAGAGCCCTTGTTCAACAGGGCACAATGAAACACTGGAGGCAAAGCTTCAAACGCGCTTTCTGCCACTCAATGCCAGCAGGAATCTCAAAACCTGGCCATTCATAGTTGTTGACAAAGAGGGCCATATTGTTATGTGGTATCTGCCAGGTATCTTGGAGGAGGCTCATTGGGTAAAGAGAACCACAAGTGACAAACTACATGAGATGACCTATGACCAGGAACAAATGTGGAAGGGTGTCAAGGTTGTTCAACAGCTGCTCATCATTGACTGGTGCTCCAAGAGTTGGTGTCTCAGCAACAAGTACTATATGGCAGCAGAAGAATGCACTATCCATCCAGGGACCCCCAGTTTCTTCTCTGTGTGGTTCCAGCAGGTGCATGCAGTGAGTGACCTGAGTCTCAGTTGACACTTGCTGACTAGAAACTTAGGCTACCAACATCCATGAGTCCCAGGAGGCAAACCTCCTCATAGGTGGCATCCTGGGGGTCATTCATCCAGCGTTGTATGAAACTGGCTGCTGAGTGGTGCAAGCACTGCATGGAAATGTTCTAATTGACAAAGGTGCCAATCTTGAGGATATCCTAGAGCTCTGGGCATTACTGTTCACCAGCATCTCCATTATGAATAGCTGCCAGACACCTGTCCATCGTGACAGTAGTGGAGGCTTTAAATGCATGGACCTCCTTGCGATAGTCAGCCCTTACACAAATGGCAAGATGGATATCCCAACAGTCAGCATCTGGGTCTGCTACTCAGCAGGGACAATGGTCAGTATCACTAGGAGGGCTTTACTTCATGCCACCGAAGCGACGGGTGAAAGAGCATGCTTTGCCTACTACATGAGACACAATGTCTTGAAACACCTCAACTTGGAGGAGCCAGGATGGGCAAAGGTCTCAGATATTAACGACATGGTTGCAGACATGATGGAGCCAGATGCAAAGCCCAAAAGACAGTGAAACAAGGGACTGGTCATTTGCTATGCACATACAATGTGACAGGGAGCAGAAAGAAAGTGCAGTACAGTGTTCAAAAAGAAGCCTGCAAATAGTGGCAACATCCATGTGCAGTGCTGGAAAGTAGTGCCATCAGGAGGAGCTTCAGCAGCAGCAGTGGTGATGACACATACCTAAACTCCACCTCAAATTCACCAGCCTGGAAGGTGCTATCGACCAGCAGGTCATCGTTCTCCAACTCCGAGTCTTCCTCGTCGTCCTGTGAGTCAGAGAAGGAATCTGGGGGTGAGAGGACTCCAGTGACATTGTCCATGAACTCACTTGCATCAGAGTTATTGGAACCAGTATCGACAAATTCAACAACTGAGGGTGATTGGGACCCAGACCGAGGAGGAAACTTAGCAGGGCTTGAGCTAAGGCTTTCCTCGGTGGCCCAACCGGCGCTAACATGGGTTCCAGCACCACCTCTATTGCCAGCCATGGGCACTACCCTGAGATATTTTAATGGACAGTTGTCCATTGAAGGTTATATATCAGAGCCTTCAACTATCCTTTTGGACAACTGTCCAACAACAATGAGTGTCTGCCTGAAGCAATGCAAAATTTTTAATAGATATATATAGAAATAAAACTGTGATGCCAAGTTACAAGTTCTTATGTAAGTAAGACTCGTTCTTTCAACCTGGGACATGGAGATCATTTTGCTTTCCCACATTACGGCCATCCATGCTTTTTTTCCCACAGTAAGTATTACATTGATGGCATAGCTACATTTTCAATAGTTCACTGCATTTTTACTGGCTACTGTAGTAATTGTTCAGCCGCCGCCACCTGCCCCTCTCAACCCCACGACCACCTGCTCGCCCTCCTCACCCTCTGCCTCTCGCCCCTACCAACAGCCTTCAAGGACACTGAACGATGCTGAACCTCCGTGTTCGGCATTGTTCACACTAGTTCTGTGTCCTGCCTGCCTGCCCATCTAGCACTGCCTGCCTCTCGCCTTCCGCCACCACCATCCCCTGCTCTCGCCCCTCCGACACCATCTGGAGGAGTCCAGATGATGGCAGTTGTGAAAGACGAAGGGGCCCAGCAAATTTAGCAAGTGTTTGTAGGGATGCAAACAAATGATGCATGAAAACTCTTGGAGAGTTTTCATGCGTCATAGGTCCCACACCCCTGGAGGCCATCCCACTGGTGCACAAACAGCCCCGAACTGCAACACTTGGGGTCGTTTGGGCTCATTCTCACCCTGCCGCCCGCCTGGTTCACCCCACCACCACCTCCTCACCCTCCTCACCCTCTGCCGCCCCTTCTCACCATCCAACACCCCCAGGGGCTGTCCAACAACGCCCTGGTGCACGAACGAGCCCGGGATTCACAGTCGTTCTGTGCCCCACCTGCCCCTTCTCGCCCTTCCCCCCTCTCTCTTGACTTCTGCCCACAACCCCCCCTCCTCTTGCCTATCCAACAGGCCTCAACAGAGCCCTGACAACAACAAAGGATGCCAAACACATATGTTTGGCATTTGCATCCTCAACCACCCACGTCTCGCCCTCCATCATCACCACCACCTCCTCTCCCCCTTCTGACGCCCCTCCCCTGTCCAAATGGCCACCCAGGACGACGAACAACACCAAACATCCAAGTTTGGTCTCATTTGCAGTTGTTCTCTGCCCTGCCCACCCCTTCTCACCCTCCTGCCCTCCCTCTCGACTTCCACCACCACCGATGATGCTTCTCGCTCCTCCAACTACCAGCTCCCATCCCTCTCATCCATCCACAACCACCAATCACATCCAACAATGGCCCTGGATGCTGACACCCACCTGCCCATTGCCTTTGAATGCCTTTCTCCTCCTCCTCCTCTCCCCCAGAGTTCATGTCTCACCTGCCTCTTTTAATCAGTAGTTATATTTTTGTCTGTATATTATCATACCTCAATCATAAAAAAATGTCTTATATTCCAACAGAATTCCACTATTGCCATTACTGTTTATGAGATTCTCTGTTTGTTGTGGAGTCTCAAAACAAACACTTGCTGGTTGATGACATTTTAAGTTGTCTTTTGCCTCTTACTTCCATCTACCATCCATCTCTGTCTCAGACCATCAGATCCTACATTTTCTGGCCTGCTTTTATGGTGTTGGATGTGGTACTGAACCAATCTAGCATCATTAGCACAGACTCACCATACCCAGAACTTCATTATCTATGCCTGCCTCTCTTCCAATGGCACATTCTGCTCTATCCATTCCTGAGCTTGTAGCTCACATTGTCAATTCTGTCAATGTTTATCAGCCTTCATATTTATTGAATATTGCACTGGTCTCTTCCATATTCTGTCAACCAGCTCTTGCCAAGTTGTGGCATCGCTTCCAGATCCATCTCTCCCCTCTCTTTGCCTTGCTCCATATTGCCTCCTGGGATGATGACTACAGCTCTCCCCCATCTCGATGCTCATCAGATTCTGGGTGTAGAGGTGAAATACAAGAGGTAAGATTGCCACAGTTATTTGTTATAGCATCATATCTTGACCAATGGTTCATTTAGTTAAGGCTCTCTGAGCAACCCCTTTCTCTTCATGACTGGGACTGTTTCAAACAATATGCGCAGCACATGCAAAAGGTCAAGCTTGACACTTCCTGCTCTAGTGCACCTCAATATCTGCCATGAGCTGCACAGATTGTCCAGATTGCCTTTGCTGAAGGACACCTTTCTAAATCAACTTTCCGCCGTCTCACCTCTCTGACAATTGGAGTAACGGTTGAGACTGAGAGCCTTTGTGCTCTTCTTGTAGTTCCATCACTCATCAATGTTAAAATTCGCTCAGATCGCAACTCATCAGCCCTCTATGCTCATGTTGGGAACCTCCTCTTCAACCACCATCGCCTAGCCCTTCTTGAAATTGATAGCAACTATGAATTCAACCCCTTCAATTATGCCTCCATATACTTTGATCTCTTGTTTTCTTCATGTGCTTGTTGGAGCTCTCTTCATGAGCTCTAAGGTAGAGGCCATCAGGAACCAGCTAGCTTATATAATTGTATTATATAAGCGCCAAGGGTGGCAAAATCTCACTCTCGAAATTTTTCAAAATTTTTGACCCTCGGAATACAAGTCAGAGTACAGTAGAATATTTACTTGGACCCCCCAAACCTCTTTAAGAACTCCTCCTTAAGTTTAGCAACAACAGACGCAGGAAGTGTGCGATGGCCGTGATATTTCCTGTTTGCCCACACTGCCTCGGGGCCTGTAAGTCCCTGGAAGTATCCATTGATAAATCGAGCAGCGCGATTGGCATATCTAATCAGCACGTTAGATCCATTTATTGATGGAAGTGAAAATAAACACTCACCGTTTGATTGAAACATCAGGAACATCGTCGAGGCAGGCAAGTACATTCCTCTCCATCTCCTTTATATCAGTTGTCTTGGGGCTATTCTGATACCGAAGCTTTGCTGCCCCCCAATACTGCTCAATGAAATTGAGTTCACAGTGATATTTTGGGTAGAAGTCACAAATGTGACCGTGGGAAGTGATTAACTCTTCAAGGCAAGACTTCTGATTTACGAAATCGGGCTGTGTGAATAGAAGCCGTCGACAGCAGCAGTCCGTCTTCCCAGGCTCACACTTGAACCCCTCACACTGCGCGTTGAGCCCCCGCTGTGGCCACAGACTGCGCTCCCGGATAATATTCTCCATCCCTTTAAACCAGCCCAGCATGGTGGGGTGATCATCTGGGTAATAGAAGTCTTGGATAGTGCTGTGCTCACCGAAGCAGGTGGTCCTCATCTTTGGGCCATCTTTGTGATGTGTCCATGTTGCATGGGCATTTTTGGGCATTTTCCAAGCAGAGAGGGCATCCATTGCCCGCTTTTGGTGACTCGGTGCATTGTCAAACAGGAAAAGACCAGTTGCAAAGCCATTGGTGAGTCCCTCAAAAATGTCAATAGCATGATCCACTTGACTGATCAGATCGTCATTGTCGAAGTAACCATCCCGATTCTTCCCCACTCTGAAGAGGATACGTGCCTCGCTTTTTTCACTCGATGATCAGCCTTGAGTGGTGGATAATCATTTGAATGTTACTCACTCATCTCCGTCTTTTAGCCGCCCCCAATCAGGTGTTAAGAATTCGGACACCATGATCGATGGCCCCTCTCCTTTTCTCTCCGTTGTCGCCTTTTCTTGGAAGTGGGTCCACTTTGTCTTGCGTCTGTCGTTTTCATAGAACGTTGATTCATCGTGTGTGACCAGGATCAAGCGGAAGCGGCCGATTTGAGGGACAGGGAAGCCAGCTGGTTTAGAGAGTACGTTGCCATCATTGTCATAAATAATGAAACGCTTCTCATATTCCTGCCAGCGTGACACGAATGCTTTCCGATAAGCAACCACATCCTCCCTTTCATGGCCATGTACATGCCATTCCGTTTGCG